GTGACCTTTACAAATGAACTTTACGTTACGCTTTTGTAGGTAAGGGTGTTCTAAAATTCTTTGTTTTGGAAAATTTAATAACTCTGTAAATATTGATGTTTAAAGAATTTAATTATTTAATAAAACTTTAAAAAGTTATCCCCTATATGTGTGTTTATTTATTGTCGCGATGGTAACGACACGCTGTATACCATGGAGATTTGGAACACCCGTAGGGTTGTAGATGCGTTGCCACCTTTTAATAAAGTGGGCTCTAGCTTTCTCACTCACTAGACGAAACGCATTAATGTATAACACTTTTACTTCAAGACGGTATTTTGTGAGGTACGTACCCGGACAGACCTCCCTATTCGTGCAGCAGCCGAAACTATTGCGTGGCCTTACCACTTTAATTATAACCCTTTGGACTGAGATATTCGGTATACGAGTCCAGAGCAGGCCCGGCAATACAACCTCGATCGTGCCACTTAGATATTAGTGCTGATACAAAGTTTACGACGCGACTCACGTAGTATATTATATTGTAAACTAATCTTTTTAGAAATGAGCAACAATTGAGTTTCTTGTCGGTTGCTTCTCAACAGAAACTGCTTTCTGAACCGGTAGTAACTTAGGAACATATTAAATTTGAATTTGAATTCAATTAAAGTTTTACGCAATCATTAAGGCGGATCAGAGCAACCGACACATTTTTATACCCGCGTCACGTAGTGTTGCGACTTTAAATCTAAATTAAGAAACACGAGGCACGTGCCGCAAAATCAATGAAACGCGCAGGTTTGTAGAGGTTTTGCAATATTAACATCTCTGGCAAGCCTCCAATGCCCAGTGTCCTGATTGCTAAATACGAATGTTACGTAATACGGGAGTAAAATCTCTCCCATGGACTTACAAAGACATTTTTTATCGCTTTAAAATTTTCTATTTAATGGAAGTTATGGAAACCCTTCAATTACTGATAACTGAAACTCAGTAAATGAATGTTCTTACTTATGTGATATACGAAACGAATATGATGCTCTATATTACCTTTCCGAATCTTACACTTGTACATAAGTATTATTTATTATAGTTTACATCGCAAACTGAACGTTAATATTTATTTCAAAATAAATCAAATTCAAAATCTTAGTCATCGACGATTTTTTTCACCTACCACCTCTGCGTAATGAGGAAATGAGGTTTCTCTAACGGAGAAGAAACTCCGTAGGTATCGTCTTTTTGTAATTTTTTTTCTTAAAAAGGGTTATACAGCGTGTCGTTACAACGGCCACAATAAATGAACACACGTGTAACGCTACTTGCCAATAATCATAAAAAATATTGACGTTAAAATATATATAATTAAAAAAAATATTTTTCAATCAAACTAATTAAGTAAAAAAGACAAAATTTGTAACATCCTATGCAACAACAAACGGACTGATTCATACATTCCGAGACTTTTTCATTCGTTGCCACAGCGTCGCATTACAAGCCTCTCCTTCTAACAGTATGTTTTGTCTCTTTTAAATTCATTCAAACAATTCATATGCTTTGTGACCTTTACAAATGAACCTTACGTTTTTACGTTTTATACGTAAGGTTCTTCTAAAATTGTTTGTTTTGGAAAATTTAATAACTTGTAAATATTGATGTTTAAAGAATGTAATTATTCTTAATTAAATTTTAAAAAGTTATCCTCTATATGTGTGTTGGTAACGACACGCTTTATACCATGGAGATTTGGAACACCCGTAGGGTTGTAGATGCGTTGCCACCTTTTAATAAAGTGGGCTCTAGCTTTCTCACTCACTAGACGAAACGCATTAATGTATAACACTTTTACTTCAAGACGGTATTTTTGTGAGGTACGTACCCGGACAGACCTCCCTATTCGTGCAGCAGCCGAAGCTATTGCGTGGCCTTACCACTTTAATTATAACCCTTTGGACTGAGATATTCGGTATACGAGTCCAGAGCAGGCCCGGCAATACAACCTCGATCGTGCCACTTAGATATTAGTGCTGATACAAAGTTTACGACGCGACTCACGTAGTATATTATATTGTAAACTAATCTTTTTAGAAATGAGCAACAATTGAGTTTCTTGTCGGTTGCTTCTCAACAGAAACTGCTTTCTGAACTAGTAACTTAGGAACATATTAAATTAGAATTTGAATTCAATAAAAGTTTTACGCAATCATTAAGGCGAATAAGAGCAACCGACACATTTTTATACCCCGCGTCACGTAGTGTTGCGACTTTAAATCTAAATTAAGAAACACGAGGCACGTGCCGCAAAATCAATGAAACGCGCAGGTTTGTAGAGGTTTTGCAATATTAACATCTCTGGCAAGCCTCCAATGCCCAGTGTCCTGATTGCTAAATACGAATGTTACGTAATACGGGAGTAAAATCTCTCCCATGGACTTACAAAGACATTTTTTATCGCTTTAAAAAATTTTCTATTTAATGGAAGTTATGGAAACCCTTCAATTACTGATAACTGAAACTCAGTAAATGAATGTTCTTACTTATGTGATATACGAAACGAATATGATGCTCTATATTACCTTTCCGAATCTTACACTTGTACATAAGTATTATTTATTATAGTTTACATCGCAAACTGAACGTTAATATTTATTTCAAAATAAATCAAATTCAAAATCTTAGTCATCGACGATTTTTTTCACCTACCACCTCTGCGTAATGAGGAAATGAGGTTTCTCTAACGGAGAAGAAACTCCGTAGGTATCGTCTTTTTGTAATTTTTTTCTTAAAAAGGGTTATACAGCGTGTCGTTACAACGGCCACAATAAATGAACACACGTGTAACGCTACTTGCCAATAATCATAAAAAATATTGACGTTAAAATATATATAATTAAAAAAAATATTTTTCAATCAAACTAATTAAGTAAAAAAGACAAAATTTGTAACATACTATGCAACTACAACTGACTGATTCATACATTCAGAGACTTTTTCATTCGTTGCCACAGCGTCGCATTACAAGCCTCTCCTTCTAACAGTATGTTTTGTCTCTTTTAAATTCATTCAAGCCATTCATATGCTTTGTGACCTTTACAAATGAACTTTACGTTACAGTTTTATACGTAAGGTTCTTCTAAAATTGTTTATTTTGGAAAATTTAATAACTTGGTAAATATTGATGTTTAAAGAATGTAAATTCTTAATTAAATTTTAAAAAGTTATCCTCTATATGTGTGTTCATTTATTGTCGCGATTGTAAAGACACGCTGTATATTATACAACCAATTTTTTATTTATTTTAGAAATAGCTTAGGCGCGATCAACTCATCATTCTCAGGGGTTAATGTCATTAATTTATTCATTTATATTATAATAAAACATTTATATTATAATATACATATAATATTTATTTTCTAGAGTTTTTGTTATATTGTACATTCCTTTTATCTTGAACGGCTTAAAATACACAAAACAGTTTGAAAAAAATGAATGAGAAAATACGAGGAGTGATCATATCTCCAGATTCACGACCTGTTAAAAGTAAGAAAATAACGTTGAAAAGATAGAATGAGTAGGTTACCCCTTTTCAGGAGACCATGTCTCAAAAGTACATCCGATATTGTGTCTACCCTTTGCGGTGACAGGTGTGAGGGTGAATGGAATGCAACAAATTATTTATGATCCTATTCACATCTTGAATGCTATAACGTAAACTGTATACGGTCTTACGACCCCTTTCAATTCTTTAATTTTAATTGTAGACAGCGATGAAAGCAGTTGATTTTAGAAGTACTGCGTTTACAATTCATAAGTATATGTATTATTACACTACGCACGGAGAGCACCATTAACCAACAAAAAATGTGTTAATCTACATGTACTAGCTACCAAACCTTACAGGGTCATCCTTGCATCATGCCTAATTAAATAATTCATTAAAATCAAATTCTACCCGGTTTGGAGTCCGTAGTGGGGAACAAACATCTACACATCATTATCATATATACAGATTCAGCTGTCTATGATTTGTACAGAAATATCGGGAATTGTTTTCTGCATTATAGTAAAATATTTATATCATATTACATTATAGTTATTATATGTATTGTATAAATATAAATTGCTTTCATCATTTTTATAGTCAAAATTTAGTTAATTCGCAATTGACCAATTAACCACATATTACATTCAAATATTATCTTATAGGCAATAATAACATAATAAATATTTGTCGTGTACGCATTCCTAAAACAGATTAATCAGATGGTTGAATTTTTGGTGAGTTGCATTATATTCTTACAAGTGCCTTTTTCATCATATAGTTTTTTTTTATAAATAAGTTTAAGTTTAAAGTTCATTGTTTATTGTACATGTTCTTAATTTAGTCACTCTGTAATTAAGTACAAATTTAGGTACTAACTAAGATACTATCATACTGCTGTACGAAGCAACGTATTCCTCATTACTTTCACAAATTTTTCAATGTGTAGTTTATATTTTTTCAAATAACGATTGTTGACTGACATTTTATTACATCATAGACGATAACGCCATGATGATATGATAATAATCAGATGAGTAACCTTTCTTACATAATATTAATCCAGAATAATTCATTTTCATCGTGAGCTTTAAACATTTATCGTGCGTGCAGTTAATTGTTTTAAACGACTTATGCCGATTACTAGAGGCTCGTTCCTTGACGGGTGGCCTTGAAGGTGTCCCGACTGCGTGTACATAGTTAGCTATGGGTGTACCCTGGAGCAGCCCCGGCCTATGGCCGCGCAGGTTGCCACACACCCCCGCCGTGCCCCTGGCGTACTGCGCATGTGCCGCCACACTCCGACAGTGCCGACACGTCCCAATTATTTTCCTCCATCGCGCTCACGAAGGAAAAACAACAAATAATTAGCACGCCATTCGTGTTGTGCAATCAACGCGTCAATGCTTCGCAATCGTGGGCACGCGGTGAAGGGGAAGAGCGTGAGTTCGGTGCGACAATGCGCTGCCGATGATCCAGAATGGTGGCGAGTGTAGGGGCCGTCAACCCAACTAATGGTACATAAACAGTGCTTTCAGGCCCGCGCTTTGGTGTTACTTGGGTATTGTGAGGTAATCACGTATTTGTGCGTTGTGCAGTGGAGGCGACGGCGTACATCAGCGCAGTAGCGGCGTTCGCAGTTGTTGTTCTAGTCGTGCTGCTGTTCTTGGGGCGCAGATGGTGCTATTCGGCCGTCTTCAGCCGCAAGTGCTGCGATGATATACTCGCGGTCAGCGCTCACGTTGCCGACCCAGCGCTGTCCCTCGACAATGCCCAATTCGGTGAGTGCGGTACGCCGCTTTTTACCTCAGCAATATGTACTGCGCTAGGTGAAGTAAATAGTTTGAAACCATCTTTATTCTCTAGCTTCAATGATCCGATACCTAGTTATAGATTAGACGTGGTATACGCCGACCGAAATGTATGGTCTGTTTGTTTGTGGCGATTGGAACAATCAACGGCTCGCTTTAAATAAAATATTGATAGTTGGTTTGTAGTGTTCGCGGCTCCAAGGCGACGTGCCGCCAAGGTCTCATGTCAACGACGGCTGTTCGCGGTAATAAAAGTATAAATAATAAAAAAAGTAAATTAATACTATTTATAATGTAATGTAATGTTCCGAGTAGATTAGCTAAGATAGTCCATAGTTTGGTTAATTAGTGTGCAATAGTTCGGTGTTAAGTAATAAATTGATTGACGTTGTTTGTACGTCTGTGTTGTTTTAGATGCTTTGTCGAAACCGAAACATTACCCCGAACGAATTTTCACGTTCGAGACGTCGGACTCAGACGAAGAGCTGCGCTTACGCATTCAACAGGTAACAATTGGACCGTAGAATTTTTTGGCATAGTTCTCTAAATAGTACCTATACCGCATATCAGTACCCCTTCTGCACGTTTCATATTACCTGAGGAGTAGTTTCAACAAGATACATGTACACAACTGTAGTTATTAAATATTATTAAAAATACATTATTATTAAATACCTTTCGTTAATTTTAATTATAACATATCTCAGTAAGTTTGTGTAAATATAGACACAAATTTTTCCAAATGACAACGTCATAATAATTAAGGCCACTTGTAAATGAAATATTTACTGAGCAGATTGAAAATTAAAATGGAATATCGTCGCGTATGAAACAAGTGCGAAATAGTTATTTTATTAAAGGACCTTCCCTACAAATATTTGTTCTATTAGTAAATATTGTCAAATACTGATATGATGACCTATTACAGAATTGAACGGACTAATAGTTCTTACGTTGTTTTATGTCAATAATCGTCAGTAAGTAGGAGTATAACAACACTACATTCAAATGTAAGGACCTTATAACTTATAATAATTTAACTAAATAGACAATGGACGACAATGATTATTGTTATTATATTGATATGACTATTGGTGGCAAAGCTATTAGAGTTTGATATAACATATTGTTAGAAAAATAATATTAATATGATTAAAATTCACTGGCACGTGTTTAAATGCTAGTTGTATTGCTATCATAATTATTTTATGAACAAAAGAACCTGTTACAAAATTTTAATAGGTAGAACCTTGTTATGGGCAAATAAATATAAAATTGGGAAATCAAATTTAGTATTTGAATATTATCACCAGACATGCAGGATTCTTTTGATATATAAGTTACTTCACCATTACATAAATATGTATAATATATTTGATACGTTCCACGCGATTTTATTGTAACCATTTTTTCAAAGATTTACTGAATTATTTTATTGTCGTCTATAAAACGGCCTTAATTTAATGTACTTATTTAAAGTTTTTTCGTTATAAGAAACTTTTAGAAAATAACGTGTAATACGCGCTATTGAATCTACACGATGAACAGTTTTCCTACATCTGTTTCTGTCTACTCAGAAATTAACGCCCTTAATAACAACTCATTTCTCGTCAAACCTTAAACCAGTTAAAATTTTGAAACGATAGATAATAGCAAAAATAGTAGCATTTTAGAAACGAACAATTTCGTAACTCAGTTCAGTTGAGTAGACCAGTAGCTTATACGCAGTATACACAACATTTGTTTAATGCTACCTTAATGAATTTTGACAGGACAAAGAAGAAGTAGAGTGCCATTATGAGGAGAAGAATGAGAACGTTTCGAAGGTAGATGTGCAACTAGTGGAGACGGCGCTACGAAAGACCAGCTTGAGGGAGACGAAGATTGATGAAGTGGTTCCCAAGAGGGCAGATTACATTCATACGCTAGAAGCGCAAAGCAGCGTCGACAGCGATGTCATTGCGCATAATGTAATTTAAGTCATAATTCTATTGTCCATCAAGTATTTTATACGTTAGAGGAGATGTCAGTAAGTACCTATGCAATGAGCATGTATCGAAGTAAGCTGATTCGTACGCAAATAAGGTTAGTAAAGGTAAATATTAGAATTGTACTGGATAAAATTGAACTGTATCCACAAGCGTTAAAGTAACATTAATTTACTTTGCTGAATATACTTGTATATCGGATTTATTCTTTAATTATGACTGAGAATGATAATTCAAGGGATAAAATAATGCCAAACAATCATAAATAGATTTTATTGTAAGCAATGTTTCCGCCACCTGTCTATTTTCATTTCTTATACCAAATTTATATCTCGTTAATTTTATAAATCACTTTAGTTATATTGATTAATTTAAATTAAATTTTTCTCAGCCTAAAATGCGATCTAAAATGCAATCTATCATTCATTAGCGTATTGTTGAATGCTATCTAAGTATTTTTAAGTCACTTAAATCTCTTTCGCACCTCCTTATTCTATCTGTTTATTTTTCGGTTGGCTGGTAAAGAACATCTAATGCTGTTAAGTCCGCCACTGTACGTTGTTGTGCATAAAGTTTTTAAATAAATAAATAAAAAATTAATTAATTATAGAAGAATTGATTACATGACGTGGTTGGTACTCGGTACAAGTGTTGTCTGGAAGTACCGAAGTACAAAATGTCTAAAACCAGAAAATCGTTCCTTTGTAGATAAATTAACATAAACATTAAAATTAGTCATAGAGTTTGTGTGGTAGGGCCAGGCAACAGGGTTTGCTGTTGCAGGAATGAGCAGGTCCGTCCGAGTGAGTACCACGATCTCACAGAAGACCGGCGTAAAGTAGAAGTGTTACAGTTCTGCGTTTCGTCTGGTTAGTGAGGTTGCCGGGGCCCACTTTATTAAAAGGGGGCAACGCATTTGCAACCCTACCGGTGTTGCAATGTCCATGAGCGGCGGCTATCATTTAACATCAGTTGAACCGCCAGCTCGTTTGCTACTGCCACTTTCTCACATAAACAACTAATAATTTCAAACATTTTGTAAAAGCGGTAGCTTTTGTAATGGGAAGGGCCTATTATATTGACGAAGAATACGTTGAGGACAATGATGTATGGAAATGACTCTTGCTCTGCTGCCAATTATATACTTAACGATTTCTTTTTTAAATTCATTTAAAAAACAGAGTTTCTTGCCCCCTTCTTATCTGGACTAGTGTTAAATAGTGAACCAGTTTTTTGACTAAAGATCTCAAAACAAGCCTATATTGAATAAAGAAATTTTAACTTTGACTTAGATTAAACAATGATCTTGACCAAAAACAGGACACCTCGCTCCTCTGTGGCGAGAACAGTAGTTCTACAGAACGCGGATCGGTCGAGTTGACGCTACTATACGACGCGCCGGTGCGCAGTATGACTGTGCATGTGCTGCAGGCACGCGGACTACCGCAGAAGGCACAGGGACAAATACTGCAGAGTCAGGTAAAGACCATGTCCCCAAGCACACGTCTAGACTGAGCCCAGCCACAGGACATTTATGTATAGGACACGTATAAGACATCATATGCCTAGAAGTAGACCGACTTTTTCAAGACGTGGGAAATGAGCAATTGGTTCGTGTGAATTAACCGATCACTTACACAGATGCCCCAGTGGGGTACGATCGCTTCCAGTAGCTTCTTAAGGGCAATAGTTTCTCCGGCAGTCATTTAAAGTATGGGCCACCGTCATTTCAGTCACTGTTCTGATTGGCTGAACGCTTACTGCTTTTACCCTCCTAACGGATGAAAATTTATTTATTGCCTTAGTTGAGCTAGTTACGATTAGGGCGATGATTTTTTGGACAGTTATAATAAATAGAGTGGAAAGGACTTATCGATTTACTGAATGGGCAGGTCCGTCCGGGAAGAAATTGACCTGACAGAAGACCGGTGAGAAATAGAATTGTTACACTCTTGCGTTTCGTCTGGTGAGTGAGTTAGTCAGGGCCCGCTTTGTTAAATGGTGTAACCGTACAGGTGTTGCAAATGTCCATGGCGGTTATTAATTAACATCAGGTGAACCGCAAGCTCCTCACATAAAAAAAATACATAAATAGTTCAGTCATTTATAAATAATTAAAAAAATTGTAATAGTTTCTTTCAATATCTGTCATAAATCAGATAATGTTTTCCTTCGACAGGCAAGAATTGTACTTTTACCATTGAAAAAACAAAAGTACAAAACTAAGATCCGGAACGGCGAGAACCCTCAGTACATGGAGAGTTTTGTTCTGCACAAAATTAATCCAGGTATGGCCAAATTGGAGAGTTATAAAATAAATCAAAACAATATAAATTTCTACAAAAATCAATTACGTTTGTATCTACGATAAAAAGAATTATTCAGCTTTATTATATTGTTAGGCCTTTATAAATTTATTATACTTATGAAACTCATTATGAGACTTCCTTACTAATATTATAAAGGTGAAAGTTTGTATGTATGATGGATGTTTGTTACTCTTTCACGCAAATATTACTGATATACAGATTTTAATTAAACTTTACAATAATATAACTTATACATCAGAATAAGACATAGGCTATAATTTATGTAGGTACATATGAATATGAATATCTCTCTTTCTGTCTTAATGTTACACCTTCAGCCTATTCTATGCAGACGTAGTTGCGGGTAGCAGCTTTTAAGTTAATAAATTTTTGTCTGGTCAAACATATTTGCATACTACACTCGTTTCAATTACTATATCATCGCCGTCATCATCGTCGTCTCTATTACTAGCCTATTGAACTTCATTGTTGAGCACAGAACCAAGGAGGCCATTTATCTAGATCTTCGGCTAAGCACATCCTCAAGCTGCTATTTTGTAATTGTATTGTAATTTAATGAAAGATTATAAAATATTTTTAACAATAACAATTGCAGAAGATGTGCACGGTCTCGGCCTGCGCATCCGTATTTACGGTTGCGAGAGAATGCGCCGTCATAGGCTCCTGGGAGAAGCTGCAGTTAGCTTTGCGGCGCTCAACCTAGAGCTCGAGAACAGTCTGTGGCTTCATCTGGCACCGCGTCAACATCATCAACCAACCTTACAGGTAAGTAATGTCTACCACTACCAAGATCGATTTAAAAGAAGGGACGATAAATCAATTTAAAACTTGAACTGCTTTCAAGCAAAATTTTAACTCACGACCGCTCAGAGAGATGCGTACTGCGTCTGAAAAGACGGTGTCTCCTTTGATGGCAACTTAAGATTAGTACATCTCCAAGGTTTGAACAGCACCCACGTTCTATTCAGCCTATTATATTAAAGATTACACACATAATATAACTCTGGTAGGGCCACGTAACATTCTTTGCTGTTGCACGAATGGTTTGGTCCGTCCGGGTAAGTACCACGACTTCACATAAGACCGGAGTGAAGAGGAAGTGTTATACTTCTGATGAGTGAGGCAGCCGGTCCCATTTTACTATTAGATGGTAACGCGTCTGCTTCGGCAAATGTCCAAGTGCTACTATCACTTAACATCAGGTGAACTGCCAGCACGCATGCCACCGTCTCACATAAAAAAAAATATATATGACCCATCGTGTCTCTGTGGAATGTATGATATAATAACAATTAATTACGTCATCGTTTCCGGTACCAGAATTTGAATTTTGATTGCCCGAACAACATGAAGTAATAGACTTCATACTGCAAAAATAGAATGGATACTGCTACGATTTCCTTTAGTCTGTTCCGATGATGTCACCTTTAGTTGAACGTTGTTCCATGTCGTGGCAGATACCGAAGTTGGAGCTTGACGGGTCTGTGACTGGCGTGCTGGCCAGTCCGTCTTCCGCCGTGGTGGCGGCGTCTCCTGGCGGTGGCGAGGCCTGCAGCTTGGCGCGTTCAGACTCCGCTTCTTCGTGCTGCAGTGTGCGTTCCGCCCCGGAACTGCTTCTCGGGTTGCAGTACAACCCCACCACCGGCCATCTATCCGTCGAGGTTGGCTTTTTAACTAATAAGGGGATACCTTATTAGTTTTGTATAAAGTATTTCGTAAAGTGCTTGACTATCCCATTTGATGGTGAGTGCCGAAGTCGCTGAAGGTGGTTTTTTATGTGAGAAGGTGGCAAGCAAGCTGCTTCCACTTCTACAATTTTAATAAAGGAAATTTTAAGGGATTATTAGTTATTAGAGACTAAAACGTGGACCAGGTGGTCAAAGGATACATTTATGACCGTATCAGTTTGTCATATGAACATACCGCTATTGAATTTTGATAAGCACTATTTTTCATGGAATTTAAAAACTCCGTTCGAGTTTCGGTTTTCCGCTTCCGCTTAAATTGTATTTTGATATCTACACATTTTATTTAATAATGACGGCAAATGTGATATAGTTTTTATGATTGGTCCGTAGGATTAGTATAATTCGATCCACTATCCTAACGGCCAGATCCATGTCACGTCATGTTATTGTGTATGTAATAAACACTTTCACTTCGGTATTGTGTATGTAGTAAACACTTTCCCTGAATTTGATGAAAATCCGCAGATCATCAAAGGCACTCACTTCCGCAAGTTGTCTCCGAACAAGGCGCCGGATACCTACGTGAAGCTTTGTCTGATAAGTCCTCTGGGCATGGAAATGGGCCGCTGCAAATCCACCACGCGGCGGGCACAATCCAACCCACTTTACAAAGAGCTGTTTATATTCCAGGTACTTTTACGATAAAATTTTCCATTAGGTAGGTGTATGCCCGCAGGTGTTTTACGCCCTGACAAAAATTTTATTCGGTTAAGAAAAATCATTAATGGAATATATTAAATGAAACTAGTTTACGGATTTATAATTATTAAAAACTTAAACCAGTAAATTCAACTTTTTACGACTTCAACATTTTGGGAATCAACATTTTGCGAATTCAACATATTAGGAATTCAACATTTTGCAAATTCAACATTGTGGTCCTGAAGGATTTTGTTTATTTCTATTCCGATCAACAAATTAATTGACGGTAGCCGGGGTTAACTATTACATCAAGACGTATAACAACTTTGTGTGACCATGAACGCTGGAAAGGGTTCGAAACGTCAGGAGTTCAAATCAAAATAAAAAACGCGATAAAATCCGTAAACTAGTTTCATTTAATATGTATAATATTGGCGTAAAATCAAGAAAACAATACATTAATAGAATAATCAACAAGCAGAATTTGGAGGGCGCTTATAGTTTTCGAGAAAAAAAGTTATTTAAAACTTGTTATTTTCACTAAAGAAATCCGCCATTTAAGAACCATCTGGTACACATTAGCTTTCAAATAAAGAAACCGCACAACAAGTGGTCCATACGTTTAGAAGTTACACAGAAGATACACAGACGTAGACACGTCAAACTTATAACAACCGTCTATTAGAAAACTTTTGTCGGGGGTTAAAAATGGCAACCAACAATCTATTTGCGTCCAGGTTGCGCTGTTCCAACTGACCGAAGTAACGCTGATGGTGTCGGTGTGGTGGCGGCGGAGCGTGAAGCGCAACGAGATGGTGGGCTGGTTCTCTTTGGGGCACAGCTGCTCGGGGCGCGAGGAGGAGAGGCACTGGCAGGAGTTGTGCAGCCATCAAGGAGAACAGGTTTGAATATACAGCGTGTCGTTACCATCGCGACAATAAATGAACACACATCTAACGCTACGAGCCAATAATCATAAAAAAATATTAACGTTAAACAAAATCCATAATTCAAAAAAATATTTTTCAAACAAACTAATTAAGTAAAAAAGAAACAAAATTTCTAACATCCTATACAACTCGCGCCACAGGGTCGTATTACAAGCCTTTCCTTCTAACAGTATGTTTTGTCTCTTTTAAATTCATTCAACCCATTCATATGCTTTGTGACCTTTACAAATGAACTTTACGTTACGTTTTTATAGGTAAGAGTGTTCTAAAATTCTTTGTTTTGGAAAATTTAATAACTCTGTAAATATTGATGTTTAAAGAATTTAAACGTTTAATACAACTTTAAAAACTTATCCCCTATATGTGTGTTCATTTATTGTCGCGATGGTAGGGACACGCTGTATAGTGCCATAATAAAGGCATTGTCGCATTAACATCGAATCGAGAATGTTTGTGTGTGTGTGTGTGTGTGTTTTTTTCACTTTTCGCACGGATTTTATAGATAGTCACGGATAATGATAGAACTAAGTGATACAAAATGCATTAACATAAACTATGTAATTTCAAAAAGACCCATCCGAAGGAAACTATTTGTAAATATATTGAAGACTAGACTATAAGCTATTCCTTTTTAAATTTGTTGTTCAAATAAACGGCAAGGGAAACCATGAGCATATGGTAGGTGGATTTTATGTTTCAAAATCTGAAAGAGGCCCTTAACGAAATGAAAGGTTCAGTTCATTTAATGCAGCGAGATTATGATTAATTGAATTTTTTATAAATCATACGTACTGGACCACTTATTTAACGTATTCTATTTCTATAACTAGTTGACATGTGAAATCTTCGCACAGTAGCGTGACTGGTCAGCGAATACTAACATAAAATAATGCGCAAATAAGTATCAAAGAAAGGTCTGGAAATTTCTGGAATTTCTGATTTTGCCACCACGCACAAAAATACAGATAGGTTATAATCCTTAAAATTATTCACAAACGTTTTAGATACAACGATGGCACGTGCTCCTGGACTCCTGACGGTCGGCACCTTGAAGCCAGCGATTGGCTGATTGAAGAAAATTCGCGCTTAGCGCTCCCAGGGAAGCTACTGGCGCGCCGTTAAACGGCGTTATTGCGATGCGATCTTTCCGCTCGCCCAAACAGGCTTGCTGTTTTGAACCAACCCTTCGGGTAAACAAGCGGCCTGTCCCTTCACTTTCGGACCTAACTTTCAAGGTCTCTTTGATATGCTAACTGTTATGACGTCACGGACGCGTCGCTTAGATCGTCTCGGCTAATCGAGAAACACGTTTATTGTTCCCTTATGAATTGTACGTGCAATTGGTGTGCTTCTTAACTGTACTATCTTTAACAGATGAGAATTTTCCCGACTGATTGTAAGTTTTGATGGTGTAAAATAAACAGATATGAAATGCAAAAGTTTATTGTGAAAGTTTATAGAATTAGACAAAGAAAAATACATTTTTTACGAAAACTTAATTAGTATTTGAAATCTTCGATTAAAATTATTAAAAGATGTTTACGTCGTTATTTATCTACATAAAAATATATATATATTTATATGAAAAAGTAAGGTTTAATGCCAATTCAATTTACTACATAGTATTGTATGATTTATTCGATTTTGATGTAAGGTTTTGTAGCATTTTTAAACAATGTTGAAGACTTCGAGCGCACAATACTTGTGAGATAGGGTAATAAAGTACTAGGTATGTATTTATTGAGATTATAATATTATATACAAGCGACATATTCCAAAATGGAAATATCGTATTTTTCTTAACGCCCGAAATGTTACGCCTTTACAGTTTCATTTCTATAACTTGATATTAATAGTATTCATAGTGATTTCCTGAAACAATACTTTTATACGCACATAGCTTCACCTGCGATATATTATATTCTAATGCGTTCTTCGGAAGCGTAATTAATGCCGTCGCCATACGTCTCATAGTGTTTTCAAAATGGTCACTACTAAAGCAAATTACACTACTAAAAAAAATATTTATGACACATTAGTCTAAGACTATATTTCCATGTTTCATTATGTTGCTAAATCTTGATACTTAAGTAACTAAATTAGTTTATTTATAAATCCAAAAGGTTTATTTACAACATTTAAATGAATAATCATAAAAAAATTAAATTATTAAATTAAAAAAAATTATATCGTTATCTAACTTTTTATTGTTTTCATTAAAAAAATTATCCTTCAAGGTCATGTATATTTTATAACGTCAATTGTAGGCAGTTGTTTTATTGTATTGTAGATAGAGTTATGAACTATGTTAATGTTTATTTAGCTTAAAGCAATTACAACAAAGTAAGCTAAATACATCCTTGCCTCTAATATAAGCGAATAAGATGGTAGATTTTTTATAAATGGTGAAAAAAAAATTTTACGTAGCAATTATCCTTTTTCTTGTATCTTTTGGTGCTCAAAATGACAGTTGTTTAATGTAAGAGACGAAATATTAATCTTACAAAAAATCCTTATTTCTTACATATTTATGTATTGAGTATTCTAATATTGACGTTTCACTATTAATTATAAAAGTAACACTTATAATATTTGTCACTAGGGTTGAACTTGAATGATATCTCAGACTTTTCATCTCTCGCTTTTATGCATATATTGAAATTGACTAAATTCATGTTGGTTATAATTTATAACCAATACTTTCTTGCAGTCATTCATGACATGCAATTCACAGTTTTTCTAAATTCGAAAACAGCTATTCTTGAATTTTCTATGAACGATATCCATATTAGCCTTTAAATTTTAATATATCTTAATATTTACAGGCCATTCATTACTCTGATAAACATTAAATTAGGTTTAGAGAACAACATTGTACACACGACAGTAATAAATTTACATATTATAGTAGCGAAGTTTTCTATGAATAATAACTGTGAAATGTGATTTTCTTATACGACCCTGAACTAGATAAGAATCCCTGCATTGCACTGCATTATTTCTTAAATGCAAAAAAAATATAAAAAGGTGTATGCGGAAGTGTGAAATAACATTTTAGTCTTGATCACAATGCTGCACAAACTATTACACAATTAATTATATAATAATAATATTTTATCTATTAAGGCCTTTTATAAAGCAAAAACTGATGCTAAAATGTCGCAAATAACAATATATGCTTATAAACATTTAATCTAGCACTTAATAGTGTTGATTGAGATCGTTGTTAACGCATAAATTATTTGGAATAAAGGGTGTAACTTAGATGTTTGTACGACATGGCTTTAGGTAAATAAAGCTTGAATAATTTTGGCTCCCTGTTCTGATTTATTGGGAAAAAAGTACATGTAACAAAAATAACATAAACCTTTATTTGTTCTTGCGGATTTTTTATATTTTTATTTTCACTTGTTTTTTACCCGAGGTGAAAACGCCACCTCTTTTTAAAAATTGCATGTTATTGACCAATATTTAAAATAAGGTAGCATTCACACTTTTATTATACGCGTAGTAATTTAAATAAAGTTCTTAAAGTATAGTTATATTTTAAATTAAATTCTTAAATTATAGTTACGTTTTAAATATAATTGAAACAATCGTCTCCAAATAGCATTAACAAATTAATTTGACTTTTGAAAACGTAAAAAAATTGAGGAAGATCAAGTGAAGAAGTGATATTTGTATTTACAATAGAGTTTCGTAACCATTTCATATAATTACAATGATAAAAACTTGTGCATTGAATGAAATTAAAATTACATAGAATATGACATACGTATTACACAAACTTGGAATTCAGTGTTGTATTGTACTATAGAAATATTTTACATTGCTACAGATAAATCATTTGATTACGTTTCTGAAAATACTTAATTTGACGTCAGAAACGTATATCATTATAAAAGAATAAAAGCTGCGAAAATATAAAAAAAATATCGAAATGTAAAATTTATGAGAACTATTTATGTTATGTACTTATATATATTAAATTTTAATATACATAAGGAATTCATTCACAAACTTTCATAACGAGATTAACGCCGGGTTTCTAAAACACTGATCATCGTAGATGTCAACTAATCAGCTGTCAAATGGGTTTTCAAATGTTATTTGAGTTGCCAAAAGGATTGAAAATCTTTAAATTGAACATTCTGATCATTAAGAAGATCACTGTGATCACTTCAGAAAGTTTAACCATTCTTTTGGCAACTCACATACCATTTGAAAGACTATTTGACAGCTGATTAGTTGACATCTACGATGATCAGTGTTTCAGAAACCGGCCGTTAGTCTTATCTATCATTTAAAAAAGTGGACGTCTGTTTTTGCTGTGTTTTTTCTGCCATAATGGCAAATGAAATGAGTGTTTTATTAAATGCTTTATTTAAGATATACAATTAGATATCTAAAATTAAAAAAGTAAACTGTCTTAAAACTAGTAATGAATTAACAAAAGTAATATTTACTTTCTTTGTGTAAAGTACCTATCTGTAAAAATTTCTATTGCAAAACTTTCTGATTACATATTTTGTATTCGTATAAATAAAATTTGCCTTTAGCCTTTAAATTTTTTTATGATAAATTAATTCTTAAATAATATATAATTCTTATATATATTTTGAGCAAAAGATATTTTTTATATTTCATCCAATACAGTAGGCTTCGGAACATTTAATTTAAATTTGTTTAATTATTAATAGCCACATATCTGGTTTGTTTTATGTAAAACGAATGTACGATTACAATTTATTATTATTTAAGAATTTTTCTCAATAAATTTCTTTATACATTTCATTGTGTTTCACTTTTTATTGTTACAACATTCTGATCATTAAGAAGATCACTGTGATCACTTCAGAAAGTTTAACCATTCTTTTGGCAACTCACATACCATTTGAAAGACTATTTGACAGCTGATTAGTTGACATCTACGATGATCAGTGTTTCAGAAACCGGCCGTTAGTCTTATCTATCATTTAAAAAGTGGACGTCTGTTTTTGCTGTGTTTTTTCTGCCATAATGGCAAATGAAATGAGTGTTTTATTAAATGCTTTATTTAAGATATACAATTAGATATCTAAAATTAAAAAAGTAAACTGTCTTAAAACTAGTAATGAATTAACAAAAGTAAATATTACTTTCTTTGTGTAAAGTACCTATCTGTAAAAATTTCTATTGCAAAACTTTCTGATTACATATTTTGTATTCGTATAAATAAAATTTGCCTTTAGCCTTTAAATTTTTTTATGATAAATTAATTCTTAAATAATATATAATTCTTATATATTTTGAGCAAAAGATATTTTTTATATTTCATCCAATACAGTAGGCTTCGGAACATTTAATTTAAATTTGTTTAATTATTAATAGCCACATATCTGGTTTGTTTTATGTAAAACGAATGTACGATTACAATTTATTATTATTTAAGAATTTTTCTCAATAAATTTCTTTATACATTTCATTGTGTTTCACTTTTTTTTGTTACCAAATTCATCTGTGGCCAACGATATAATAAGATACTGTACTTTTTTGTTTTATCTATTAATAAAACGCTGTATTTTTAAGCGATTTACCTTTATTTGATCTGTCGGTTTGCAGCTGCGTTATCTCTTTTTTAAAATTATTACTTACATACTCACTGACAAAATGCAAAAGTGTAAATACCCTAATTTTACCCGGTCTTCTGTAATGCAGTGGTACTTCCTGGGCCTCACTCACTTTCCTTCACTCATGCAGCAAACCGAGCTGCCGTGCTCTACTACGGAGAATATAGATAAATGGAAACAAAATTTTCAAACGACCTTATTTATAACGACAACATATATATTACCAAAACAAAATGAACTTGAAATGAACATACGTGATTTACCAATTTAAATACCGTGCTACGCAGTTACGGTTACTGGGTTTTACGTTACAATACTTGAAATATACGGTTACTAAGGGGATTGTAATTTCACTTATAGCATATTAGCACCATAACCATGAAATTGTCGTTTTGTGTAGGAAAAATTTAACATTTATAACAGTATGTATGTATAACCAATCGAACTTTTGGTAAATAACTAAATATTGACGATGCGCTTTAGTCATTTTAATGAAAGTTCTCAGTCTCATTAATATAAATCCCGAGAACGGGGATCCAACAAGCAATTTAAAGACTCCGACATATTTTTACAAAACGCTATCTAGTCCTAAACTAAGCAAAGCTTACGTACTATGGATACTAGGTAGATAACTGATAAACATATTTAATCGTACTTTTCTTTTTGTAAATAAATACATGAATAAATAAATAAAACCCTAGAAAAACACTATGTTCATCACACAATATTTTTCCAGTGGTGGGGATCGAACCCACACACTCGGACCAACACTACGCCAATTGGGTCGTTGGAATTGAAACTTTATGTTATGATGTCTGGTGATTGTTGGGGGCGATGGAGAGTTGCCAATCATTTTTGTCGTTGGAAACTCTTCATAGACCTATGCAATAATTGTTTGAATCGCTCGCAAGAAGCTGCAATGAGTAATGTTGGTTTAGGTCCATTATACACTTATAAAAAGCTGGTTTTGACCAGGAGTACCTAGTACACTGGTGTTCGTACAGAATCCAATTTTCATCAAATGAGATAATCAAACTCAAAATCCTCTGCTTCTCTAGCTTTCTATCAAATCAGATCAAGGCTGCTGCTAATGTTGACATGATGAGATGAATCATCTTGTACGATACCTTCCTTTTCATCGTTACAGACTTTCGTGTTCCATCAGCCAGAGTGCTAATAATTTATATTACTGATAATTTATTTAAGGAAGTTTGAACCAAACCGTGTGTCGCATTGTATAGATATGTGCACGCCGAAGATAACCTGCAATTTTATTAAATTTTATATAAAATTATTCATAGACACGTTATTAGGACATCAAAAATAAAATCCAACGACTGTAACAATATTATGACTTTCTTTAAAAGACATTACATTGCTATATGTTAAAAATTCTTAATTTTAATTAGAACGGTAGAGATCTTGGCGTTAGTCAGTATATGAAATCGACATCTGCTTGGGTTGGATTTAAAAAGTAAAAGTAAAGGTTGGATTTAAAAAACAGCCTTTATATCTCCCACTGCTAGCAAAGGCTTCCTTTGTACAGAGGGTATCAGGGCATAGTCCACCACTTCGCATATTTTCGATTTTTTTAAAATTATTATTTCAAAAATATGCAGGTTTCCTTACGATGTTTTCCTTCACCGCTGAGCACGTGATAAGTTAACACTTAAAATTATTAACAATTTAATTAGTGCCGCCGGCACCGGAATTCTAACTCAGGTTGCTCGAGTATACTAAATAAAAGGCCAGCGCCCGGATACTAAGCTATCATGTCGAAGCCCTATAATTGACCATAAAAAACTTTTTTAAGTTTTTCACGTTTTTAACAGCAAAATATGTTGCCATGAACAGACAATTATTTGCGACATGAAAATTATTTATTCAAAACAGTTTTCATTAATGCGGCTATTATCTTAGCGTGACCAAGTTCAACTTCCAACTACATCTATTTTGTACGCAGAACTTGTAACATTGTCAGCGAATTAGTGCCGGTTCAATCTAGAATCCCTTGTTTTTTTTAAATTAAATATATAAATAATTACAAAATTCAAACTAAAACTGAATTGTTTCTTCTTTCCTGGCGTTGAAAAAAAAAGTGTTCTAAAAACACATTGTTATAAAAAATTACATTGTTATAAAAAATGATCGAAAATTTTCCAATTTCAAATTACTTAGAAAGTGCGTGGCTCCCATAGAATCACATGGAAAAACTTATTTTTATTTCCGTTTTGTAATCAAACCAACCAAAAAGGTACCTCCACCATGATCACTTCAATGTCATTAAATGTAAAAAATTATGCAACCAGAAATCAAAATGTAGAAAAATCTTAATTTTCTAATTCAAAAAATCTTAGTTTATTAATTATAATAAACAAAATTGTACATCCCTTAACTCCATATTATGTGCATTAAAATCTTTGCATGCATGACATACACTTGTTTATTGACCATAGTTCTGTCGCGTTAATTAAGATTTTAGATATCCTTCACAGATATCACTTACCTATATAATATCCGAGTTCCATAAAAATTCGATATTAGTTGTATTGACTTTCGGCTGGTTAAAGTATATAAATAATATATGTAAAATGAAAGGTAATAATTTTCGAACTCTGTTAAGAGAATACTGTTTAGAGGGAAGCATATTAGGCTTGAAGTATTTTTATCTATACCCGGACCGAGTGTCAAGGTAAGTAATTAATAACCGAAACACTCCTATTTTCAAAAATAAGCTACAAAGTTTATCACTAGTTGACATTTTTACGTTACAGTCAACTTTGTGATAAAGAACAATTCTGTATCAAAACTTGCCATTCGGGATTAATTTTAGTTTTTATGTGCAAAAGGGGTAAATTTCGATCGAATGGTTCACCTGATGTTAAGCGATTACAACCGCCCATAGTCATCAAAAGCATCAGTTAGGCTGCAGATGCGTTGCTGCTACCAGATGGCCAGAAGCACAATTCATTCACCCGTCATCATTGGCATCGAATACGCCAGAGGCCATGAGGCGGTGAGTTCCCTCTGTTCGCATGACGATCGAGGTGTTTCACAAGCCAGTCCAAATGGCTTTCATAATTCTTTAATTCAGGCAAAACACCTATGGTTTTAATTGGATAAAATATAAATATTTGTAGTACTAAAGAATATTGTACTAAATAAAATTAGTGAAGTAAACGTGAAGTAAACGTAAAACATTTTTGTTATCGAATAATAAATAAATCGAATAGCACTAAAACAAATTACTTACAGATGCTTTTGGGCGGTGACAATGTTCCTGAATGTTGGTGTGGCTTGTATGCTCGGCTTACTGTTGTACTTGCGCTTCTACGAGATGCCTACTAGGATCACGATAGAAAATCAGTTCGAGCCCATCCAAAATCTGCCGTACCCAGCTATCACGATATGCTCCCCCAACCATATCACTAACAGTGCATTGGATCGATTCAAAAAAAGCCTCGTGTAAGATCCGATAATAATTTATAACATTACAAATACACATGATACATTCATCATCAATCACACCCAATGACCATTTATAATATATTTGCGATAATTTTAACAACATCTTTAATTAGTATCATTACCATCTTTAAATATAATAAAAAATTTATTTATTTACCTTTTTCTATAAGATAAGAAGATATCTTTAACTTTTCAGCTACCTATTGAATTTTTCATTGTAGGATGTGAAAAAATAATAAAATAATAATGCATATCATTATTATTTTTTTAAGACACACCCAGTTTCCGAAAGCGCAATCAATTTTAATTTACGATAAATCTCTTGTCAATCGTTGTTTAACATGATCTGAGTTGCTAGAACGTCTTAAATAACTTTGATTTTGATTTGCAATTAGTCACTGATTAACGGACAATCAACAGAAAATCGAGTTTCTGAAAGCGTTTTTCGATGGTCAACGCTGTCAAAAGTTTTATTAAGTAGGTAATCTGTCAATTTGGACGATCAATCGTTGGTTAAAATGTTATCTATCAAAAATCTTAGTTTTTATTACAAATAAACATAATTCCCCACTACGTTGTTAGGACATTCATGCGTTCTATTACATATTTATTATTTATTATTATGCGAACATATCATGTGATTAGAAAAAATACAAAATGCAATCCAAAAGTTAATAAATAATATGGATTCTTTCTTTTTAAAATACTTACTTGTTTATTATCGATAAAAGTTCATTTTTTTCACGTTCTGTTAAGTATTTTTTTTTGACATTTTGCATGTATTTATATAAATTAAATTTTATTATAGCTCGGATTTTTACGTTGGCAATCACACGGTGACAGGACTGGATAGTGACGTTAATTTAAGTTTTGTTTAAAAAGGGACAGCTATACAATAGAAAGAGTTAGTTGAAGTAAATCATTCATTTCATTCATTATCATTGGTTATACAGTGATTAGCTAATTTTTCTTGAACAATCCTTCCAGAAACCCAAGGCAGTTTAACAAGAGATTAGGGATGGGTCGTATCGCTTTTTCTGAGTACCGTATCTGAATCCGATATCGATTTCAAATATCAGATTTCGAAACTATGTATTTTAATATCTAGATATTTTACGGTTCCCTATCCACGTTGATTAATAGAATTCTAAAAAAAAAAAAAAAAAAAAAAAAAAAAAAAAAAAAAAAAAAAAAAAAAAAAAAAATATTGAAAATATAAATAACATCTTATATACCGCTTAATAATTGACTTTAACATATTTTTAGAACACGCAATCTAGTGGCAATATTTTTATTATTTGTGTAAGAAATAATACATTCAGTATTATAGCTTAGGGCGGAAGAATTTAAAATATACACACAAGGCACATAAGCCTTGGTCTGATTTCCACCAAAGCAGCACAGCACTATTAAATTATATATGAATAAAAATCAGCTAATAAAAATATCACAAAAAATTTACCTCCTAAAAAATTTACATTGTATATTTTTCTGCCTAAATTAAGGAAGAAAATTCTTAAGTAGTAAGTTGGCATCCCTTACTATTACGTGTTAAGTACCAATGCAATCCAGCTCAAGGCTGAACAAAATTTCAAAGACATCGTTAATACCGTAATTCGTATTTAAATGCAACAGAGTTTTTTTCCATGCTGTTAAGATTCAAAATTACTTAACTGCGCGCTTTGTCGCCCGTTACGGCTCAAGGCTAAACAAAACAATAAAAATATAATAATATCGTTGTAGTAATCGCTGATACCAAGATTAGTATTTAAATGAAACGGATCTTATTTGCATGGTGTTAAGATTCAAAATTACTTAACTTATTCATAATATCTGTTTAAAAATCTGATATCGTGCATTGCTTGCCGTCCCACTCTAACTAGTAAGTATTTATATCTCACGCGCTTTGTCGCTCAATATCTGATATCGTGCATTGCTTGCTGTCCCACTCTAACTAGTAAGTGTTTATATCTCACGCGCTTTGTCGCTCAATATCTGATATCGTGCATTGCTTGCCGTCCCACTCTAACTAGTAAGTGTTTATATCTCACGCGCTTTGTCGCTCAATATCTGATATCGTGCATTGCTTGCTGTCCCACTCTAACTAGTAAGTGTTTATATCTCACGCGCTTTGTCGCTCAATCTGATATCGTGCATTGCTTGCCGTCCCACTCTAACTAGTAAGTGTTTATATCTCACGCGCTTTGTCGCTCAATATCTGATATCGTGCATTGCTTGCTGTCCCACTCTAACTAGTAAGTGTTTATATCTCACGCGCTTTGTCGCTCAATATCTGATATCGTGCATTGCTTGCCGTCCCACTCTAACTAGTAAGTGTTTATATCTCACGCGCTTTGTCGCTCGATATCTGATATCGTGCATTGCTTGCCGTCCCACTCTAACTAGTAAGTGTTTATATCTCACGCGCTTTGTCGCTCAATATCTGATATCGTGCATTGCTTGCCGTCCCACTCTAACTAGTAAGTGTTTATTATCTCACGCGCTTTGTCGCTCAATATCTGATATCGTGCATTGCTTGCCGTCCCACTCTAACTAGTAAGTGTTTATATCTCACGCGCTTTGTCGCTCAATATCTGATATCGTGCATTGCTTGCCGTCCCACTCTAACTAGTAAGTGTTTATATCTCACGCGCTTTGTCGCTCAATATCTGATATCGTGCATTGCTTGCCGTCCCACTCTAACTAGTAAGTGTTTATATCTCACGCGCTTTGTCGCTCAATATCTGATATCGTGCATTGCTTGCTGTCCCACTCTAACTAGTAAGTGTTTTATATCTCACGCGCTTTGTCGCTCAATATCTGATATCGTGCATTGCTTGCCGTCCCACTCTAACTAGTAAGTGTTTATATCTCACGCGCTTTGTCGCTCGATATCTGATATCGTGCATTGCTTGCCGTCCCACTCTAACTAGTAAGTATTTATATCTCACGCGCTTTGTCGCTCAATATCTGATATCGTGCATTGCTTGCTGTCCCACTCTAACTAGTGAGTATTTGTATCTCACGCGCTTTGTCTCTCGAAATCTGTTTAAAAATCAGATATTGTGGCAAACGCGTATGATATCGCCGTATCGCGATTCGTGTCGGTATAGCGAGCGAGCACGAATCAGATTTCGGAAATATCAGATATTGTAAAATACATAGATATTGAACGAGCCAGTAAGCGATATTGGGATATTGTACTAATATCTAGTTTTCATATCTGATACGATTTGTATCGCCCACTTCTACAAGAGATTAACAGCTGATCATTTTTGACATAGTGTTATGTGATTGCTGCTTTGATTGGCCTTTCGGAAACTGGGCATTATTGTTACAATAGTTCATCTGAAGCTTTTCTCTTAATTAACTTTATTAACTACACACTCACGCGATAGTTTTTGAACATATATCAATTATTAAAAAACTTAATAATTTCACAGGAGCGGAAATGTGACCACTGACATAAAGCGATTAGTTCCACATATTCTCGGGTCCGTTACAATTTTAAATAAATTGAAATTAAGCGAACTGAAACAGTTACAAAACATTATAGAAAGTAATCGTTATAAGGTGAGTTTCTTTTTCCACAAACGGATTTTTTTAAAAAGATAAAAGGTGACGAGCGAGCGAGGTTGCTCATCTACTATTCAATGATTACTACAGTCCATCAACAACAACAAAGTCTGCACAGTCGCAACATTACATTTATAAATACTGGGCCTCAGTTATCTCACTCTCCAAATAAAACGCGAAAGTACAATAAATCCAGTTCACGCAGGTCCAGTCTTCATTTTGTGAGGTCGTGGACTTCCCCGGACTAACCTGCAAAGTAGTGCCACTGTTGTGTGGTCTTACAACTACTGCAAGTTATAGATACTGTATTTGTATAACTGACACATGATTTTTATAAAGAATGTCTATCATCACTAAATTTTTTAAATTGGTTTTACTCATGGCCACGCAACAGTTTTCGCTGTTGCACGAATGTGCAGGTCCGTCCGGATAAGTATCACAACGCCACGAACGTCGGTCTTTTATTAAAAAGACCCGTGTGAATTAGAAGTTTTATACTTCTGCGGTTCTTCTCGTGTGTGACTTGTCCGGGGCCCACTTTATTAAAAGGTGGCAACGCATCTGCAACCCTACAGGTGTTGCAAATGTCAATCGGAGGTGGTTATCATTTTATCAGGTGAATTGCGAGTACCTTTAGTACCATTTCACATTTTAAAAAAAACTATCAACACATTAATTAGGTTACTTATATAAACAGTAATCACGATATTTTCTGACTAAATCTGTTTACAGGCACTTGACGTTTTATCTCTGTTGCCGCAGCGCTGCGACCAGTTTTTGAAACGATGCTTTTTTGAACAGAAAGTCTATCCATGTAAGGAGCTATTCTACCCAATTATTACCAAAAGTGGCATGTGTTGCGTATTCAACAGTATTTACAAATTAAAGAAAGGCAACAATGGGTAAAAGAATTTAATGTCTTGACTCTTTTAATGTCTCTATTTTTATTAACCTTCTTGATAAATAGACTGCTATAAATTACATGAAATGTCTTTCATATCATCAGGGTATACAGAAATGAGAGGCAAACCAACTTCTCTAAGCACAAAGTTACAAAGGTCGGGCTTTCGCACGGATTGAACGTTGTCATGGACTATGATCCTTGTAACGCTATGGATAGCTCCATAGTCTATGCGGGAGCTACTAAAGTTTGTAAAATTTTATGTCCTATAAATACCTATTTATTATTAGGGTTCCGTACCTTAAAAGGTAAGAAAAGAACCCTTGTAAGATCACTCGCTTTGTCTTGCACTGTCTGTCCGTGTGTCACCTCCGATTTTCTCAGGAACGGGTGGACCCAGCAAGTTGAAATTTATACCAGATACTGAGTTCTGTATCTGTAGTCCGTATTAGGTTTATAAAAATCAAGATCCTGAATCAACACAATTAATAGATATGGGCAAATTTAGATTTTCGTGAAAACTTGTAAGTATTAAAATTTACCTTATTTTAGAACCTTTTAATTTTTCGGAATAATTCTTTTTCTTTATAATTTTTATTATTATTTCTGAAAATATCGGAGGTGATTATTTATCAATTTTTATATAATGGGTTTTGTAATTAGTTAAAATTGGTAGGTACGGAACTGTCGGCGTACCAGTTCGATTCGCACTTGAACGGTTTTTTAATAGTATACACGCAATCAAATTGTACAGGAATAGACTAGACGATTGTCGATGTGATGCTTACCCAAACGCTAGTTATGCAGCTTAGTTAACAGTTCCAAACTTTACATTATTAAAGTTAAGTTTTTATGTACTTTTGTTGCATCCGTAGCGACTTGTCGCACCGTTCCCTGTCCCACACCAAGCAGTGATCCGCAAGATGTCGTAATAATAATACGTCGAGGTTAAGGCTAGGCGCCCCGTGCTGCAGGCCACCTCAAGTCCGTCAGATCTGTGAAGGCTCCTGAGGCCAACAGTGGCTCATCAAATGTCATGCAGGACTCGATTCAACAAGCGACCATAGAACGGCGAAAGATCCACATTTACACTTTCACTTATGCTTAGTTATGAAAAGTCGTGAATAGTATATGTTAAAAACAAAATTAAATCATACAGGTAATGCTCACAGACTGGAGGGAATTTCCAGCAAATGAAGAGGCAAGTTTCATTAAATCAGGCACCGAGGCCTTCCACGTCCTGTCTAACACTTTCACCTACTGCTCGGACGAGGTGCAGCAATTGCCTCTCTCTAGGTGAACATTTTTTTATTACTTTTACATGATTTTACAAACGAAACTATTTTTTTACAATTTATTGCGCATATTTTTAATTTTAATTTCGGACGTTTCAAAGCGTTCATGTGACGGTACAGACTGAGACATTGGCATGGGATATCCTAATGTCGTTGTCAACCCTGGCTACCGCTAGTTTTATAATTTATTTGGATACAATTTACGCAGAATGTGCTTAAAGTGTCTTTTCTTGCAGTAGTGTTTCGTTTGAGCCTAGATCTATTTTAATGCTAAATAATTAATAAAATTAAATCTATACCCGAATGGTTTATGTCTAGAATGCTTTATAGCTAGCTGTGGTAGAGCCACGCAGCAGCTATTGTTGTTGCAAGCATGTACAGGCTCGTCCGGGAAAGTACCACGGACTCCAAACCAAGTCGTCTGATAGAGTATACCAACAGGCACCAGTCTTTATAAGTGTTTTTTAATGTGTTTACAAACAATAAAAAATAATAAACTGGTGTAAAGAAAACGCAAAAGTTCGCCAATTTTGCGTTTCTTCTAACGAATGTAGTAACAGAAAACAACAAGAGAGCTAGTGCAAACATTTAGGTGATGTGGATTTCAGTAGCGGTAATCACAGAACATAGCTCATGGAGTTCTTAATTTGATCGATAGGATGTGAAGAGGCGATAAAAAAATAGCAGGTGAAAAACTGAACTTCAAATCTCGAAGTTGGACAACATAACCTTTTTTCTTGGTTCTGATTCCAACAAACTAAATCACTTTCCCACAGCCGCAAGTGCTACTTCAAGGATGAGTTGACACTTCCATATTTTAAAGACTATCACAATTCCGACTGTGAGCTTTCCTGCTTGATAAAGGAGGTAGAGAATCAGTGCCAATGCACTCCGTTATACGTGCCTTATGTGAGCACGCATGCCGCCTGCAACTTCACCAGTCTCGACTGCATAATGGCCGTCCAATGTAATGTATATTACAATGCTTAACTATTGTAAATAAATCAAACTTTTTACAGATTGTGTGTTCTTCTTTTGTTTAGTGGTAAGGCCACGCAGCGGCCTTTGCTGTTATATGAGCAGTCTTATTTGGAAAGTGCCATGGTACTAGCAAAGCATGAAGTAGAAAAATTATACTTTTGCGTTTCGTCTAGTTAGTGAGGTAACTGGGCTTTTAAAGGTTGGCGATATCCTGCAACTCCTCATGTGTTACAGATGTTGATAGGCAGCGGTAATGTTTTAACATCAGGCAAACTCCTCTACTCGTGGCAACTTTTAAAATAAAGAAAACACGCTCTTTCAAGTGTATATTAGATCAAGATTAAATTAATTAATTACTTACAATTTAACCGTTAAGTTTATAATAGTTGGACTTTATTCTTGCACCTTTCTCCCATATTTTACTGGTCGAGATTATTGTCATATTTGATAGACTTAGCAGGTTAGATTCCCAAATGTAAATTGTTTCGTAGACATGCCATGTTTTTCGGTTTTGCATACTCTCTTGAATTAAAATGTATATTTATTATGACAATAACACTGCATTTTATTTAAATTGTAGTAGCTAATATGAACCGGTTGAATGAAAATGGTCGGTGCAATTGCTTAAGGGACTGCATATCGCATAGCTACACCAGCAAAGTGATCATTGGGAATCTTAAGTCTGTAGAACATTTAATGGACAACCGTTAGTGAGTCTTCCGGTCTTTTTATTCATATTATAAAACTAATTTATAAAACTGCGTCATAAAAGTTTTAACTGTGGACCCGCGGTCAGTAATAGTTTTTATTTTATATAGTTCCTTATTTTTTCAGTTCTGGCATCGTGTTTAACGGGAGCACTACCATTATGCACTTCTACTTCCCTGCGCCTTTTTATGTCAAACAGAAGCAAGAGACGGTGATATCGTTAATAAGCTTAATGTGTGAGTACAATTAAGGTTCATTAATCATGGTTTCGTTACCTCAACGGGTGATAAAGAACATTAAGATCATCAACTGTCTTACATGATTAGATTGGAGAGTTTATTCATTAATATAAACTAAAAGTAAACTATATCAGATAACTATCTCAATATTCGGGCGTTCGCTTATAATTTGGTATAGGTACTCGAGCAACTTGAGTTCCAATCCCGGTGACAGCACTTGAAATTGTTAATTACAATTTTTAAATGTTAACTTATCATGTGCTCAACGGCGAAGGAAAACTTCGTGAGTAAAACCTGCATATTTTCGAAGTTATAACAAAAAATAAATATTTCGCAGATATGTGAAGTCAGCCAATCGGCATTGGTGTTGCGTGGCGGACTATGCCGGTACTACCTCCTATACAGTAGATAGAGGCTTTTGGTCCACTAACACACATAATAATATATGAATATGTATAGTCCGTTACTTTACTTTTTATATAGGTAGTAGAAGAATGTGGTTTCACCTGAATATGTTACAAAAACTATTCCACTATACAGGGAGGCTTTTTTAAATGTATCCAGTTTTTTATTAAATTCTAGACATAATTAATCTTTTATAAAAAAAATTATAAACATTTAAAATCACTCGTAATTAATTAAATACATTCATTTGAACTTATCTCAAAAAGTGCATGATTTATGGGCAACTCATTTATTTTACGCGCGATCATTCATAACTAACACGCAAACAATCTCGTTTGTAAAGTATATGACGCATTTATGAATGACCACCGTATTGTCAACAAGTTCTGTTTTTTAGGGAATGGAATGGCAATTTTTTGAAAAAAAAAAAAGCTTGTTTTAAATTCAATAAACGATTATACTACCGAGTCTTAACCTCCTGTGTGAATTTGGGAACCTTTAGAAAATCCACCCTGTATATAAAGTAATGATTATTTTTCTATCTAGTTATAAATAAATATAAAAAGTAACACAGTCATCGACACTCCTGGTGTGGTTAAACCCTGTAAAAATATTTTCAACCTATTTTCTTTCCTGTGAAAATTTCACATTTTAATTTCAGCAATGTGTTATTTTATTTCAAACACATAATTTGATTACAGCTAATTTGGGTGGCGTGTTCGGCTTATGTCTCGGGTGCAGTTTCATCAGCCTCATAGAAATATGGTTTTACATTTACGTTGCTTTAAAGAAATACGTGAAAGGGCATTTGAAGAAGAGGCGCCATCAAAGAGTCGGTTTTTATAACTAAGGTTCACCGAAAGCCATACCGGATCTAATAACCACTATTTTTGATTATATAATGCACTTAAAGTTCTTACAACATTAACCGTAATTAAACGAGTTATTAGCGCATAAATATATTTTTTTTTTAATTACATGAAATTAGCTTTAATTTAATATTAACTTTAATTGCTACGCTTAGTACACGTTCGCCTTTCACGTATGTGTTACGTACCGAGTGATTTCTTAGGGCAAACATAGTTTATATTTCCATTACTTAAATTGGAATTGTATCAAAATATACTATATCTTAATAAAGTATCCATACAAAGTTTTCTTTCATTAAAACTCCTTCATAGAATTTAAAAAAAATTAAATAAGCCTTTTGTACATTCTCTACTCTCTTTTACATGAAATGCTGCTTTGTTGTTGTTGTTGTTGCTGTAGCCGATTGACCGTCAGAAACGTACCCGTTATGGATCATAAACTACGAGTCCGAAAGGGCGAAAGTTCGGATAAGGGATCGTTATTGTGCGCAATTCATATAGATTAAAAACATGCAAAATAAATTTTGTAAATACTGTTTCGTTGAAAATATATTTTTAGAAGTAACATAATACAAAATAAACCTCGAATTATAGTTTAAATCTACTTCACGATCACGTCAGCTTTCAAACAACACAGCTTTAAACTGTGGTAGGGCCACGCAACAGCGTGTGAACACAGAAGGCCGGTGAGAAGTGGAGGTATAATACTTTCGCGTTTCATATGCTGAGTGAAGTAGCCAGAGCTCAATTTTCAAAAAGGTATTAACGCATCTGCAAACCCCTGTAGCAGATGTCCATGGGCGGCGGTATTCACTTAACATTAGTTGAACCGCCTGCTCACTTGACAACTTTTCACATAAAAATAACGCACCTTAGACAGTCCATTCGTTTGAAAGTAATCCACGGGGATTAATAAGAGAAAAACCTAATATTAATCTATTATTTTAACGAAGTAAAATTCGAAAAAACTCATTAATAAATTAAGGGATTATATCTCTAATATTTATTATACATAATTTAATTTTAATGTGATCTAATAATTTATACATACATTTGAAATTTCTTATTCAAATATATTTATGTGGATACATATCCAACTACAAAGTTATTTGTTTTTTCATTAAACACTTGAAAACCCTTAAAAGACTTCCAATAGAAAGCATTCACGTCATGTTTAAATATAATAAATATGTAATTAATAGTAGTAGGAAGGTAATAATAACACACATTTCTGGTGTACGTAAACAAATTTATATTTTCCGATTCACATATATAATATTTGACTACAATCCTTTCGTAATATTCCAATAATTATATCAAATATATTGCTTTGCTAAGTTCCATGAAAAAATACAAAAGTACTCTACGATTGCGTTATGAAAAAACTCTAGAAAAAATTACCTCTCTCTTAACATCTAAAATGTTCATATTATGCGTAAGATATTTCGAATGTAGGCTAATATATTGAAAAATTGTCGTATATAAAAAGACAGGCAAAGTTCGCTTTGATGCGCTTTCCCACGAGTGATGATTCAATTACAATATACATACTAAATAAATACTCCATTTAACTTGCCGTCTCACCCAATAATACTTTAACGGAAATAAATGGCGGACCTCTATAACTCCTAATATAACGACATAAAATCAATTTTTGGCTTAGATTTTAATTAAAACTACGATAAAGCACATAAAGTAATAATTTGGTCTAAGTTATGCGTATTATAATAAAATTGTTAAGTGCCTTACACTAATTATTGCCTTATTCTAAACATTGTTTTATTCCAGGAGTAATTATTGTTAAATAAAATAACTAAAAGGCTCATGCCTCTCGACATCCCTTCTATAACGGTAATATATTTGTCAAAGAGCTATTTGAAATATTAGTGAAACAGAAAATTTTAAAAATCACAATTCATCAATTTTAAATCTGAAGCTATTATCACAAATCGAAAGCGATACAAATAAAAAAGAAAAGCAAGAGTACAACAGACGTGAAATATCTTTACAGATGATTTTTTTTTTAATTTGTTTTTATAACAAATAACTTACATGAGTACAAACAGATACGGTGTGAAGGCATGAGCCAATCAATAACTGATCGTCCCCACACGCGGGGCCGAATCACTGGACGTATCACAAATTCCTTAACATTAACAATTGTTACGCTACCAGTACCTAATCCAATGGAACGGTAAGACTTTACATCGACATTGAGCTAACTTACATTCAATATATTATAATCTTTAAGTAATATTGCTGTTAGTCGCATGATAAACTATATATATATATATATATATATCGTATTTTTAATTATTGTTTTACCGAGAGTAGACGTAGTTAATGGCACGAAGGTTATTATGACAAGATACTATAGGACCGCAGTACAAAAAATTTTGTGCCGTCACAAAGAAACATGCGCCGAATGAATTGTAAAAGAGATCTTTTACACGACTTACATTTATAAATACAATTCCCTAGTCTAGCCTCGCTAGATTAAGCACAACTCGAAAGAAGTCCCTGAAATGCTTTAAATAAAACTCTGTTTTATTTTTACATCACAATTATTATTTCTGCTGAAATACACATCTATTGTATAAAAAATATCATTTTTTATCGTTTATAATATAATAAAACAGCTCATCAATTGACTTTTGTGGACTGGCAACACTACGCCAGTATGCTAAAACATTGTAAAGACTACTTCGATAATCATAATATAAATACAAAGCACACAATGAGCAAGTTACATTACCTTAACAAAGGGGCTCATAAAAGAGTAGCAGATAATTTCGTACCTAGGTCCGAAATTGAACTCGGACCCGAAAGAACGAATATAGAGAAAGAAAGAAGTACGAAGGAGATATGTAGAAAGAAACAGCTAGAAACAGAGTTCATACGAATTAGTGTATTGAAATAAATAAGTATTGCGTGGTGAAATCACGAAACTCGTTGCACGAACTAGGTTCGATGCCGGGCGTTACGTCACACGTAGGGCCCCAAAAAGGCACGCGGATCACTGCTCACAGAATACCGCCTACCGGCTGAGACGGACGGCTGCCATTGCCACTGTCGGAATCCACTAATAAAAACCCTATGATCTATAAGGACGTTGCCTCAACCTCCTGCAATACTGAACAAACCGTGCATTTAGATGTACTAAAGTCCCGTCGAACTGTAAACGTTTTGAATTTGGTTTCAATTACTTTGAAATTCAAAGGCTGTTATTGTGCAACCGATGTTACGCGAAAAACGACCTTAACGTTGTACTATTCACACAGAAATTGCTCGACCGGCGCTTCTGTTTTGGTGTTAAGCGAAACGAGACCTAAAGTCGCCGGGCTAAGGTCGATGCGGGATCGGGGGTCAGCTGTCGGCGGGGGGCCGGCGAGCGGGGCGATTCCGTCCCCTATTGCGTGGTGCGTAAGGTCGAGGTTGGCGCGGCTCAGAGGCTGACCAGGCTGCCGTGGTCCGGCGAGGCGAGGTCGGGCGCGGCGCGCTGCTGCTGCGCGCACGGGTGCGGGTGCGGGTGCACCGGCGTCAGCCCCGTGCCGCCCTCCATCAGGCTGTCGAAGTTGAACGGGATCCCGTTCGAGGGCGTGCTGATCTCTATGCCGGGGATCTTGCTGCCGCCCAGCGCCTTGCTGTTGTGTATCTGCAATGAGCGGTGCCACAATTAGCGGGTGAGGTCTCCCGACGACCGCATAAGAAGGTCGCCTTCGAAGCTGTCGACCCTGTCGTAACGCGGGGGCTGTTAGCCTAGTCAACAGGTGCTTTTTTCAGCAGTCTCGCAAAGATATGAAGGAGGCGTCATTCGAAAATAGTATCTAGATGATTTTGGATAAAATTGAAGTTTCGCTCGAAATCTATTAATTGCAAAAGTTATAAACATTTACTAAAAAAAAAGGGAGGTTTGTTTATCTACGACTATCTCGAAAGACTCAAAAAGAAGAGGAAATTTCCTAGAAAACACTCGACTCTCGGAACTGTAGCACCAATAGTTAAAATTTCCCCAGAGGGGTGAAAATACGGCCAAAAATAGGTACTCTAGCTTGCGCAAGCAACAATAGCTATAATTAAAATTTGTCACACTGTCCATCTTAACACGAAACATTATACGAGAACTACCGTTCGAAGCGAACGTTTTCAAATCGTGAAATTTTCGTTGCATTTGGTACGAGGTTTTTGGCAGACCAAATTGTCGTCACCGCTCAGTTAGTTGCATTATTCCGTTGGTTCTTTCCATAGTGAGTTTCACGCCGTTTACCTGGGCGGGCGTGAGGCTGACTGGCACGTGCAGGAAGTTGGGGCGGTTGGGGCGCGTGGTGACTGGGGGCGTGTCCAACGTCGCGGAGGTACTCGTCACAACGGCCGGATTCGCCGCCGACAGCATTATCCTGCAACGAAGGGAGGCATAGATCAGCGTTGTTCATTCCCACGGCATGATGGCTTGGACAATAGGGATAACCCCTCAAACTGTTTCGCTTCAAATACCTTTGAAGTAAAGAATCGTTGCCCTGTCAGTTGAGATAGGAGACGTTGATTGGACTCGAGCGTTATCGGCAATTATCTTGGAAAATAACATATACCCAGTTCGTTTGTCACGTAACAGTTTCTTTGTGAATAGTTAAACGGTTCCAATGCTTCTCGGCAAATGTAGAAGATCCGAAGATCATACAGATAGTTGTCCAAGCTTGTATTGATGAGTGACGACCCTCACATTATCTGTATCTTTATCGAATGTTCCTTCTGATTTCAGCCAAACGAACTAAGTAAACTTCGATCGATCACGCGATTATGTTATGTCTAGTGCTTATTATCTTAAACGTAGACTGGTCATGTCTGGTTTGTCTAATATCTATTTGTACGTTACTGTTGTTTCATTTGTATTTCGAATGACGGCTATCGGAATATCAACTGCGACGGTTGCCTACAGTATGATATCCACCGACTCGCAAAAATTTTGAACTAATTTCGCATCGACGGGAAGAACCTATTCGAGTGAACGTGATGTTTACATACCGGGGGCATAAAGGTCAGGCGTCCCGTTTATACCAAGACCGTGACCGTATTCGAGCGAAGGTACATAAAGGCAATTTTCACCAATTTTAGACACGATAAAACAGAATACTGCAACTTCCACACGTAACGTACCAACACTACCCGTATGTAGAATCAAAATTTGCCATTGGTCGGGACCGCCTGCGAATCCAATAGAGGTTCGGCACGCTCCAACGTTTCTCACGATTATGCAAAAGGCGTAGTGACTCCGTGCAGAGATGTAAACTGGTTTCGTGCCCGTAACCCTCATTGTGGGAGCAACAACTCCATTCGATTCCCGGTACGGTCGATCTCGCCAATTAATTTGAATGTATCTCTGCGTCCGGTCCGATTCATAAAAGTCTTTGGGCGTTTCCAATTGGCGAGTCGCGATATTAATGCTATGCAACTATAACCAACCCTAAGTCGACGTGTTACGGTTTAAAATTACAATATACTGTGGTCTATAACATTTGTCGATCGTCTATTATCCATTACAGGGATATGACTTTGACGCGAGTTTTTATGCATCGTAATTGAGTGTGACCGAAACACGATGCAGATTAGCGTTAAGATATAGGCTACGAGGCGATTCCGATGTCATAAATTACGTTTGAATTCGATTATTGACCTAGTCGTGCTCAAGATAAAGTTTATGTTTACAAAACCCAAAAACGTTTAATATGAAACTGATAGATAGGCTGGGATTGGATTTCTACGTCTTAAATTTTTATGACACGCGAGCACATTTCAAATGAACATTGTTAGCGACTCACAATATAAATCAACGTCAAATATTTCGATATTAAATCTGCCAATACGCGGTGATAAATAATGGTGGCACTTTCTTTCTCAAATGTAGCAAAAGAATTTAAATCTATGTATTTTAAAATCGACAAATTAATTTTAGATTTTTTCGTTTAGAGTACTATTTTGTCATGCTTATCTGTCACTTCAATCTATGTAATATTTATATGTTAGCATACATATTCTTTATGCTGATAAGCATTTTATCATCACTTCGTTGTCTATTGTATGTTATAAATACTCATTTCATAAGTTTCACTTAGCACTTCCCCACCTTTTGTCTGGCATCGGCGATGTGAAGATGTCGTTGTCGAGCGCCAGCACCGGGTCCACGGCGGGGTCCATCACCTCCACCTTCACGCGCACTCCGTCCTCGGGATCTTCGGGGTAGGCGTAGGGGTCCTGGAAGGGCTTCACATCGGGCGGGCTCGCCGAGCGCTTGTTCAGCCGGCACGACTGCAGATGGTTCTGCAGTATCGCCTGCAGGTGCTCGCGGTCCGCGTTCAGCTTCCTTATCTCGTCCTGCAGCGACTGCTTCTTCTCCTCGAGCTTGTCCGTCTCCTCCTGCAGCTCGTTGGTGTGGTCGAGGCGGCGCTTGCGGCAGCGCGCGGCCGCCATCTTGTTGCGCTCGCGGCGTATCTTGCGTCTCTCTTCCTCCTCGGGCGTGAGGTCCTGGGGCGCCTTAGTGGGCCTCCTGCCGCCCATGTTGCGCCTCTTGGGTGCCGGCAGGCCGGGGCTGCTGCTGCTTTCGCTGGCCGATAGCGGGCCCGGCGACACGTGCAGCGCGGTCGTCGGGCCCGTCTCGCAGTAGCCCACCGTGTTCAGGATGCCTGCGGACGAACGCCGAACGAATGAGCCGAGGCTCCGACTGGTAGATGTTTTTTTTTTTATGTGAAAAGTTGCCAAGCGAGAAGACGGTTCGCCTGATGTTAAGTGAATACCGCCGCCCATGGACATCTGCTACACCCGAGGGTTGCAGATGCGATGACAACCTTTTGAAAATTGGGCTCCGGCCACCTCACACACCAGACGAAACGCGAAAGTATTACACTTCCACTTCACGCCGGTCTAGGCTGCTGCGTGGCCCTACCACCGTATAAAGTTGTCTTAGTTGAAGCTGACGAAGTCGATACAAATCTATAGTGCACCCGCTCGAAGCGCGGGCTAGACATATATCACAATAGCAAATATAAATGAAGCATGCATATGCGACAGTTTCAACGAGCATTAGACATTGGAAACTAATCAGCTGTAGAACAATGTACTGATAAAGTTTGGTCCGAATTTTGTTGATTGACTATTTACTACAGTAACGACATGTCCAGCCAAATTACTGTAATATCATTTAATAGCTTATGTCATTACATCGCTTTATATAAACTTTACCAGTATGATTTACTGAAGCAATTTGTGTAATTCAGTTCGGTGTGCTAGCGTGGACCCGCCCACAGTGCTATGATTAATCATGCGCAACGCTTCACAGGTAACGATGACACATCTACTAGATGTGTCCTGTTATGTCATATATGTGCCCCGGTTATCTATCTTATCTAGAAGACAAACTTGCATCCCAATCTCTGCGGTGTACTGACCGTAATTGTTGGCGTGCGTGACCGAAGGTGGCACGAAGCCCGCGTGGTTGGCCTGCTCGCCCCGGCAGTTGGTGAGCTCGATGTAAGTCTGCTCGAAGTTGCGCAGCTGGGTGGGCGTTATGGTAGCCGTGGTGCGTGTTGGTACCCCCGACTGGAGGCCCTCGAGGTTCGCCAACTGTAAATCGACAAACGTAACGTTAGGCGCATTTATCAACAGGACAAATGCAGACATCATCCTGTCTGAATGGATATGGAACTGCCCTTTAATATATCAATCTAAAAAGTTTAGAAGTGAGACAATGAACTCCAATGCGAGTTAGATAATTAGAAAAGTAGAATAGACGTGAATACAACAAAGAAGACTGAATGAAATAAGAAAAATGTTGTAAAATATCAGAAAAGTAGAGAGAACATTTTTAACTCTTTTGACAAATTTGATACCACCATCACTTTTGTTTTATTCACGGTGTACTCCTAATAAAACACTACAATAAAGCATGTTCGGAAAACAAAATTAAATTGAGTCAAGATTAAAGCCGTAATAAATAACATTGTAAAAGGAAACAGTAGTAAGTTATGCAATGTGCATGTTTATTTATTATCATGTTTAAATTGCTTCCACATACCGATCGCATTTTATCTGAGCAATATTTATACACAGCTCGAACGATAACAACGAGCGAATTTAACGTATAGCGAATAATACAATTTGCGAATTTCCAACACATTGCTTCTAATATCGATTAATAGACCATCTGAATTGATGACGTTATATTCTGAACATTTTTCTATACTTATCAATACCGCTGTTTTAAAAGTAAATGTTATATATTACCCTCAATACGCGCAATAAGACAAAAAAGATACAGATGCGGAGTTAAGTTTAAGAAAAAATCAGATAGATGATGGATACATGGTTAGAATATCTTCACACACGTTTCTAACTTGCTACAGTTTCTAACTCCCTACATTAGATAGAGGACTAGCTAAGGATTTATCGGACTCAAAACCTTCAGAGTTAATAGTTTTAGCAGTGCTTTTTACAATCGACAAAGGAGGATCTCAATTTGGTTATATTTTTATTAGTAACCTTAGAACTCCGTCATTCATGAACCGATTTGAAAAATTCTGTTTACATTGGGTTTTAAGTATTAGCTAAGGTGGCTAAGCTCCCATATTCAACGATGTTGCACCTTGAACCCCGTGACAAATCGGGGAACACTAAATAATAAGAAAATGCTAATCTGTAAATTTTAGAGACATTGAAAGTCAGTTCGGTTCTCTGATGATAATAAAAAAATATTTTATCACATTATTAGATCCGAATATTAATAGTAATAATAATAGAATTAGTCTTTATCGTTTAAACGTGTCCCCTACTAAACGTTTTCGAAGAAAACATTTTATAATTCCCCTTGGCCAGGTTTCCCGCTGAACAAGTATCGTAAATTGGCAACGCGTGAGTAATCCACATCTTTACGAGTAGCCAAATAGCCATCAGTTCAAAATCATAATGTCCACTCGTTTAGTCGGACTATAGATGTTACGATATACATATTTTTACGCATACCGTCGACTTATCCCCGTGCTGGAAGGGCGATAACATCACCGTTCAAATGATGTTATTGTTGAAACGTTGCCGTAAATCTCTCACATAGGCTCATTTTAAATAGATAACATAAACAAATAGCCAAACGCGTTAGAAATTTTTAACCCTGTCAGTTTAAAAACTCATCGTTTCGCCCCTCATTGTCGGCACTAAAAATGTGGTTCATTACACCGGGAGATTTTTGAGGATTATACGACATGTACAAAGAGCAAATAATGGCAAGGGGTTAAGTCATGAGTAGCGTACGATTGCATCATTTGCAAGGCCAATTGAGGTGAATTAAGGTGCTAGGATTGTGATATACGCGTGCTCGGCTCAGTGGCAAATGTGCCTAAACACTGAATAGGTTGAATAGTTCTTTAGCATGTTTTTGTTTTTAATGTTCATACTTTAAATTCAGAATGTTTTCTATTGTTATATTCGAGTAATGGGTGTTTTACAGTTAAATATCACTGAATTCAATATTGATAAGACAAATAGATAGTTGTTTTTTGACTATTTACATGTAAAAAATCGATTTTCAAATACAGTCGTTCGACGTACGGCAGAAAGTGCCTTTAACAGAATACGTTCCTTTCGAGTCGAGAGTATGAAATGCTTCATAGCTATTGATGATACAATTTAACACATAGTATAGTACAACAACCAACGACGTGCGCGGAACATCAAAATTTACAAAGACAGGTGTACTCTGGCCTATTTCCACGAATGTACCACTCTTGTGGGAATTGGGTAATTGGCATAAAATAAACCTGCAGCCGTTCTTATTTACATTTTTCTTACAAGATGTAAGCTTTTACTAGTTTTATAGCCCAATTTTACTTAGTCCTATACTATACTTAATCTATACATTATATGATTGCGACACCTGGCATTTTACTATTTGTAGGGGGTTGGATACAGTTGAGTTTAGACGCTTTAGACGTTCCGTACACCTGCGCACGACGTCTACGCGTCGTTCCGATCAACGTCTGGTGGCATACCTGCTGGCACCACAGCTCGGTGGCCAGGATGTTGGCGAACTCCAGCGGATCGATGTTCTGCATCGCGCAACCGCTCGCACGGCCGCGTTTATAATTAGACGCTTACTCTATTGTGTTGCGCTTTTCGACGCGACACCTTCGCGCTGTTCGGTTTGGTTTGGTTCGTCGATATGTTTCGTTGTATGCCGCCCTCGCAATGTCCGACTGACCGCGCCGGCGATGCGCTCTCGCCGACGTGTTCGGTTCGCTGCTCGGCTCGGTATGGTTCGGTTCGGTTCGGTTCGGTTCGCGCCGATTCGCCGGGTTCCGAGTGCGGTTCGTTCGTTCGTTGGGCGCGCGTGCGGCGTGCGGCCGCGGCTGTTCGCGCGCTACTGCCGCGGCCCGCGCGCGCCCACCCAACTCCCTCGCCCACAGCCGGCGGCGCGCGTATTTATAGAGCGGCCACTCCGCCGCTACTCCGGAAATATTTCGCGTACATTTCGCACAGCGCTGGCCGAGACGCGGACGGAGATCCGTGGCGAGACCCGGCGGCCCGCAGGTGGCGTTGCTCCCCACAGATAACGCACGCATGGGCACGTGCGCGCCCCCTACCCAACGCGGTAGGCCGTATCGAACACGTTGGTTCTGGTTTGACAACGGGTTCTGCGTTCGACGAAGCTTTGATAGGCTACGGACTGATTGCGAAACTATTAAAAGGTAAAGACAATGGAGACGGGGCTGCGACGCTGTCGAAGTGGCCCAAGCGCGGGACCGCAGCGATGACTCGAAAGCCGTCTCAAGATTTGTAAAAAGAGCACTCTAACGATATAAAAGACAAAGTATTGTGTGACGCTATTAAGCTTGCGGTCCTATTGATTACATAATACGGATTCAGCCAAGATGGTGTCAGACCGAGCGTCGGCGGGAGGCTCGACTGGACCTTGCCGCAAGGTCGAACTCGAAACGAAACGTAGGCGCGATGCTCCTTCGAATGCGACCATATTTGGAGTCGACTATTAAAATTTCTTAATACAGACTGTTATAACATTAATCAATTGCTATTGTGTGCGCTAAGTAATCAGTCTAGTAAATATTTGGTCGAAGACATGTTATGTGGACAAACAGGAGCGTAACTACGCAATCTTTATTATTTACTAAATTGCCTTTTGCAATCGAAAGAATTCGTCCTTACCAAGAATCTCGATAGAGACAGCACGAATGCTGTTTTAATGAAGGCATTTGTACAATTCGTGTCCTTATACGTAAAATATTCAACGGCATCTGTGCGACACCGTCTCTCATGTATTATAGGCGTGATACGATTACCGCATTTAATTGCGGGTTCAATTAGCCGCTGCTATTTCTTTGAAGTCCAAAACGTTTATTCAAATTTGTTGAGATAAAGAAAGGCTAGAACATTCGAAACAAGCTATTCGTACTACAATCTACCTACTCCTTTCTAGTTACTACATCAAGACTTTACTAATCGCGCGACGTTTCAAAATGCGTTATGCAAAGCGGGCTGAATAATTGCTTACTTTGTATTTATAGAGCAATTCACATATACCCTGGTTTCCATTAGATAATTTGGAGACGTGGTGATGTGTGTTATTAAACATCACTCGAGCAGATTAAGCACACTCTAAATTCATTTCGCGCTTAACAGCGATATTTCCACTTAGCCCAACACCTACAAGACCGACACAGAGCTGTTGAAACACGGAAAATATCATAAATTACAAATATAATAAACTAGATGATACGTGCAAAATTTTAACAAAAATATTTTGAACAATAATAGTCGACTTCGGTATATTTCGTTTAAACAAACTGTCAGTTAATGGCATTGTGATACATTCTACAAAAGATTTTTTTTTGTATGAAAACATTAACTTATTCGAATCGTTTTTATTGATGAATAATTTCACCAACAGGGACGAAAATATGCTTCAGAATAGCGTTCGAATAATCAAAATCTATGCAGAATAGAATGGAACCGACGACAAAAAAAAAACGTCTTTGAGAAATACTATAAAGAGATTCCCAGTGATGTTAGTAGTCGTTTTCGTACTGAGTACATCTCCACTTCCAGCTCGGATCTTTGGACAGGAAGGGGCATTCAACGTCTGCCTCCCACGTACGTGAGAGTCGCGTCGCCGGCGCGGATTGATTTTGCCCACGATAACCGCTCAATCATATTCCTACGCTCATCAGTGGTGGGACAGAGCGCGGTGGGGCAGTGGCGGGAAGGCGGTCGGTCGCCCTCTCAATTACCGCAATTGCCCGAATGAAATTCGCCTCGTGGCACTCGGCCCGGCCGCTCCGTCTTAATTGGTCACGGTGCTTACCTAAAGATTAACTAAAACCTCATTTATCAGACGGCCGAGTTCTCGCAACTCCAGTCGGCGTCTCTCTTAGCCGCCCGTTTTTGTAATATCCACTACGTTCATCATACTAACTAGATAGAGTAAGCACAACATTTTAATCATCGATATACGACATCAGAATGGAGACGCTTGGATCCACCTCTACCTTTTGCTCGGTACCCTAACCCAGAACAGGATGAGAGTCGCCTGACGTGTGGTTCGAGTGGGAATCGAGCTCAAGAGCCTCGTCGCGCAAGCCAACAGCTTCACAACTGTACTACCGAGTCATGATATCCACTAACTTGTTCGATCCTATATTTTTCTTATAAGAAAAGTCAGGGATAGTCCCGTCGAAATTTGGGAAAGATCTGATAATGGAATCGATGAGGAAATCATCGAAACCTTCAATCCTCTCATTAAGGCTCTGTCCACAACGCGTCAGCTTTTAGAACACTTTTGATTGTTTTTTTCTTTCTTTTAATGTTAGCGGACTTGCTAACATATATATTGTGCGTTGACGAGTAAATCTGTCGTCAGAGTTGCTTCAGCTCTTGTTTCTTTAAGAAAAAGACAGAAAAAGTAATGAAAACTAAAATAGTGTTAATAATTCGTGATATAAGTGTAAAGTATTTGTTCATCGCGTATACACAAAACTTATTCCAGGGGCGTACACACCATAACATTTGTTGAGTCGAAATCGCCCAGGAAGTTAACATCGTCATTAGAGTAGAATGAATATAAATGGGACACGATCGATAGTGTGATAAGAATAAGAAGCCTATCTTGGTGTGGAAGTAGAATTTAGCCACAATTAGAATATAAGGTGGCGAATCCACCGCTACGTACAAACTAGAGGATTAGGTAGTCCGAATTGCAGCGCGATGTATAGATTTAAATTAAGAGTTTTAACATTGTCAACATTTTTTCAAATCAATTTTCTTAACAATTAGGCGTAATATATCATTAATATGATCACTTTGCTTGTTTAACGTCTCGATGTAAATAAGCTTGGCTAGTAAACTCAATGTTAAAAAAACATTTCGGTTGTAAGATTCAATCCGTGAGTGGTAGAAGAGATTAAACTTGACATCGTAAATACTAATTAATTTTCATTAATTACGACCGCGTATTTAGAACCGTAATGCCGTGCAACTCACGACGAACGACGAAATAGACCTTATCGCATGAATAACAGGAGCTCTTGCTCAATGTTGGTCTCTTCGAGGCTAGGGTGAATAAATAGGCTTTCATCGAGCCAATGTGTAAACAAAACTAACGACCTCGGCGCTTGTATCAACTGAGCGCTGGCTAGTCTAAATGTTTCATTAAATAAAAAAATAAATAAAACATTTTGCGCGCGCTTTACTCTTCGCAGACAGCTAATACTGCTCAGACAATGGATGCGCGTTCTAGTTGTGTTTGGTGGCTCGTGAGGAGTTATCCGTCGGCGGTGGCGTGAGATCACCACTATATCTAGTCGTGACGTCGGCACGCTTGAGGTAGGCGCCGTGTTAAACGATACGATGCCTCCATACGCCGCGTGATACTTAAACACCGAAACCAAGAATTCGAGAAGTTTCTGTTTTAATTAGAGCATACTGAAGAATTTAAAGATCACGTATCCTCTATCCTCCTCTATCCTATATCTCACGAAATAATAATCGTGCCCTGGGTACGATGAACCATTTGTAAATTTACACGACAGAGCAAAATATCTGTAAACGTAGCTTTCGTTTGCAAGGGCGGGCCTTAAGCATTTTCGAACATTACTACACGGAAGTTTATTCTCACAGCAAAGAAATTTAACGATTACGAGTCAGTGATGGTGTATTGATTGGATTGTTATGTTCGACTTGGGCTGCTAAAGTTTTGTCGATTACTTACGTGCAAAAGTTATCGTTTGTGTGACGGTTGTGACTTAGCTCACAGCAAATATGGTGAGATGTTGAAACAATATTTCAGCCGCTACCATTTTGGGTTTAAAAATCGGACCTCTTGCGATGTTAAACTTGCGAAAAACTAGTGCATTGTTATTGAAACGTTTCGACCATTACTTTCAGCTATTCCACAGAGGCGTCTGTATTAATTAAACAGTGCATTACATGCAACAGATAACGATAGCCATACGTGCGTATGTAAAGGCCCATTTACACGATGCCATTTTCTTGTACACACAAGAGCAATAATTGAATGCAATAAATTGCGCGCAATAATTGTTAAGACCAGTTGTTGTTTAACTAGCAACTCATATTGCTTCAATTTAATTGTATACAACAGGCAAGAAACTGGCACGAAATGGGCGTTATTTGTGAACTGTTCACAAATATCTAATGGTTATAAAATAGTTCAACAGCTGCGCAGGCTTATTTTGTGATATTCAATTTGACGTCAACAAACGTAGCAATAGATTAGTACGATTGGTAATTAGTTAGCCTCTTTGAGTCACCAAGAATATAATAAGGGAAGAGGCACTTTTTATACACACGTGATATTGACAATATACAGAGTTTGAAATTCACGTAAAGAAATTCATCAAACACACAAACTAAAACCCGACATTGATAAAAATGAGTTGAGTTGAGTTTCGCCAACTTTCAAGGCTTTTCCTATTGTTTCGTTTCCTTAATAAAAAAAACAATATGTTTTATCTAAATTACATTTTACCGGGAGGTGGACGGAAAATCCTTAGAGCGATGGTCAGCGAGGAAAGTTTTCCTCAAACTGCACGTCGGTCGCAGTTTTATTTAGATCCGGTGGGTGTTCGTGTTTATCTACAGTCTACGCTAACACTCTAAATATGTGTTTTTTGTATCACACTATCTTAATTAACGCCCGTCTTACCTTCTGAATATAACTTTGGCGTCATCAAGGCAACAGAGAATTGGTTTTAAAACGGTAAATATTCTGAATTTAATTAAATAAAATTTCTTCAACCCTTGTAATACCATAGTAGAGCAGAGTTAGAGTCACGCCAGAATTAACGCACGCAGAGAATAACGTTTTTTTTTGGTATCCGTGTCGTTATTGAATCGTCGTATTATTACGTGATAATACTAATGAAACGAAAATAATATCCCGTCTCATAATCCGAATATGTAAACAGAGATAAATAAAATTTTCGTATACACAGACAATTAAGTAAAGATTCTATCTTCCACAAGGTCTCCGTGGTATTCGCGTGACTGTCTCCTTACAAACGTATGACAATGATTTTTTTCGAATCAAACCACATTGAACTACTTTTAATATAAATTACGGAAAATGTAATTTACATAAACGGACAAATTTTTCAAAACACACCACGAAACGTTTTTTTTTTTTGATATATTGAAACGTTTGAAATTTGAAACGTTTTTTCCAAACCTACGCAAGTTCATTGGACACGACGGTCTCATATGAAGTAACCGTGTTTTCAAATTAAATGACATTCAACTGTCACTACTATAACTGTCTTTTATTTTTGGGATATGTCAAACAACGGTGTTTGAATCAGGTAAACTTACGTGCTTGCTTCAGAAGGTCGCGTTTACTTGGCTTTTTGTATATAATAAGTTTGCAAGCGAGCAGGCGGTTCACCTGGTAGGTGATAACCGGCACCCATGAACCATTACAACACCAGAAGGTTGCCAAACCTTAAAAAGCTTGGCCCCGGTTACCTCGCCAACCAGACGGAACGCAGAAGTGTGTGAGGCTTGACTTCCAAGCATTCTGAGGCCGTGGTACATCCCCCGACGAGTTTACATGTTCGCGTGACATGAAAAGCCTCTGCATGGGTGTTATCCGCGATATTATCAGCCACGCCGCAGTGGAATGGTCTAGAGCATCGTGTTGTTGTTTGTGACGCGCACGCCCGTCGTACTACGCGGGCACGTGTCGGCCTCGTGAGCGGGCAGGTGCCCCGCCCACGGCGCTATAGTGCGCCGAAATTCGTCCGAAAACGCGTTCGAACACGTTTAACGCGCGAAATTAACAAAGCAGCTCAGGCCAATATACGTCTCTGGGTAAAAAATTGCTTCTGCTTTTGGTGTTCGAGACGAGAAACCATCATTGTTTCGTTTCTATTTATAGGCCGCACTCGTGTTTGGCTGTTAAGTAAGGAGCAAACGCACACGCTTAGAATACTGAGGAAACTATAGAGTTTTTACGTGCAATGGGTACGATGAAGCTATGGTGAACCATTTGTAAAAACACTATTTACCAAACTCAAACAAAGAGGACATAGACATGGACCGTAAGTGAATTATGCTTTTGAGTTTTTTCTGGAGGTTAGGGCAACTGGGGCCTATCCATTTAAAGTTTAGCGACGCATCTACTACTCCACAGTTCAGTACAGATATCCACGAGTCTCGGTAATCATATAAATCACGTGAATGCTCGCTTGCAATTCTCTCTCATAAAAAGTATTAAGTAAAAATCGTTCTCAACGTATTTATAACAGTTATATAAGTAGTCAAAAGTTTTCAGTAATTGAGATGGACACTTAACTGGCCGCCGAATGATTAAAACATAACCCAAAAGGCGGGTACTTGAGCCTCGAACAGGGGGCAACGGCCGCCACAATTTGAACAGCCAGTACAGGAAATATATAGGGAAAGGCGTGAACTGCGAAAGGTTGATAAACAGTCGCCTCATTGGGCACAGTTAGCAGTTAAATACGCGAGCTTAAACTTTAACTGTTAAATACCTAATTAATACGGGATGACCACTGGGACATACTTTGACTTGACTTTTAATGTTTATGAAATGGGACACATCTAGAAATCTAATATGCACACAGTTTGTTCGTTTTTATGCGGAACAGCTGTGATTACACAGATAGGCGAATGTAATATCGTATTATATTAATCATTTCGTATTTATCGTCTTTTAAATTTTTTGACTATTTTTTTTCTCTCAGACTCCTTCGGTAAATCTGGCACAATAAAATTCTTATGTGCCAGACAATTTTTAACCTGTACAAACGGATTATCACGTGTTTGACGTTGACAATATAAACGTAAACAATGTAAAATTTTATGTATTTGTAACACGTATTTCACATGAATTTTATCTTTCTGCACTTATTCTCCATATAAAGTTTAACTATGCCAAATCTCACATTCCTGCGTACGAGTAAATATCAAAGGGATCCAGTTTTTGCTTCACGTCCATACTAATTACATAGATTGGTAATAGTAGAAACGGCGTTGTACAAATTTGTATCACGAAAACTTGACTATACACATATTATAAATGCTGTGAAAACCCATTTTGAATTGAAACTTTTATAATTCCTAACATCTAATCTATCTCCCTGGGGGACAACAGGACCGTGCAAGTCTCTAAAACCAACTCGGCTACCATTCAGGGCGTTCTGTCGCTGCGCGATCTTCTGCATCGCGGTAAAGTCGACAACCCTAGCGAGGTACCGGCGCGCTGGTACATTCGACCATATCGCCGGGAGATAGGGTACGTTTTGGATTAGCGCCCCAAAGCCGTAGAACACGCAGTTGCGTTATCGAATTGAAGTGGGGGGGCCGTGCCCAGCGGCCGCCGCGCCGTATCTCGGGCAGTGCGCGGCTCATTAGCTCGGCGCTAATTGCGACCACTAATAGCGTTGTTCGACTTAGATTACTCCTTGAAAAGATTCTGTGCGGGCTTTGTTCGAAGCGTGCATTTACTCCACTGCACCGTGGAGGCAGCCGATTGTGAATGCTCAAGGTGGTACCGGTACGCGAAAAGCATACAGATTTGTTCGTCATTCACGCTTTGCGGTCATCCGATGGTCTCGAAGGCAAATGAACGGTTGTCGAAACCGCAACAAGCACTTCGATTCCTATCTCGATTTCCATTGCAGTGCTGTATCGCATGAGTATTTAAACTTAAATCGAATCAAGTTGTGAATCATATAAGAGCGAAAAAGCTTTTAGTTTAATCAGCCGCGTTGCATGTCTAATATCTGCGAAATTAAAACCTACTTATCCTACCTAAACTACTTAAACTAGAACCTACTATGGTACAGCATAAATTAATCAATTAAAAAAGTTCATCATGCTCACATTAAATTAAATTACTTTGTAAGAAACTGAGTTACGACGAGAGACTTAACTGTAGGATATGAACAAGCCATTAAGTTAACCTCAAAAGTGTTTTAACCTCGTGAGTTAGCGCCAATTCACCACATTACTTCCGCGATGTTACCATTACAAACTGACAAGTATTCTCCATTACATTTCCCCGTCACCAAATGACATGCACGTCTTTCTAGCTCCTTTAAAGCAAACATGCTGATTATGCACCAGCCAATTTGCAAACGTATACAATAATTTCATCAACAAATCGATTCATATTCAAACGTGACATCAACATGTAACAAATCAAAGTCCACATAGCGTTAGATCAAAAAGGGGATAAGCCTTATTAACGCAGACATCCGCGTAATCCTTACTTGGATGGGACTAATTTAACTTTGAAATACGTTTAAACAGGAGGCTCTAGTCGCACATGCGGTGGCGCGGCGCCGACTGACGCGACATTGACCGTCGCCCGGCGAATAATAAAACAGACCGACGCCTGGCGGCAAGCCAGGGCCCTTCCCATCGTCGCAAACGGCCCTCCCGCGAACCAACGCCGTGCCGGTGTTTTACGGTGGAAAGTGAAACGCGCACGCGAGCTGCAATGGAAACGACGCAGCGGTGCAACGACACCGGTGCGCGATCGATGCGTTTCAATTTCGCCACCCCGAAAACGCTTACACGTAAGCCGCCGAGTCGAACAAAGGGTTATAACGGCCGCGGCAACGAACTCCCATCTAACACCTAATTAGAGATGCATTGCAAATTAAAGCGATATCGCTTTGAGTTTGAAATGTTCATGGCTCTTAGATCGCGTCTGTTTTTAGTTTATTGATGGTCTACGTAGCGCGCTAGAGGGGACAGCTCGACAAACGCGACCTTCGTGTTCATGAAAAACGCACAGCGCCGATTCTCGGAAAACCCGCGTGACTCACCGCCCCGGTCGCTCGCTCTCTAGCGCGGGTCACTACGGCCCGAGTATTTCGCTTCGATTCAAAAACTCGATTACGCCGGGTGATTCATACGCCGCCTATGAATCAGCGACGGGTGAAAACTACGCCGTCAACGCGACTTCGACGCAGCTAGTGCGCGTGCCGATACAAACGTTGGGCAATATCGCATCAAAAACGCGACTGCGCATTCTATATCTACAAAGAATGTCCAAGGCTGGGCAACTAGGAAGTGGGCGCGAAGACGGGAAAAAAAGGCGCGAACGCGGAAAACGCGCCACGATTCGGAGGATTTGAAAAAAGAACGGCGTCGCCATGCGGCGCAATTCAGATAGCGTATCTGTGGACGCGACGTTTGGCGCCGCCGACGGGAGTACCGGATATCGTCCGGAAATGGCGGGCATTCCGCGCGACGCCGTACGCGACCGCAGACCGCGCCGAAAAAAGTATAACGCCCTCTTTTTCTCGACGGGTGCGTTCGTTTTACGAACGGCGAACTCGTAACAATTATGCCTAATGATTAGTAATGATGGACGACGCACCATAATGTGAAATAGCTTTGCATTCCGAGAACTCCCGTATGCGAATGTTGCCACGCTAAGTGGTTTCCTTGACAACCTCAGTCCGGATGAATCGAAAATTTAAGTGTGGTAATTCCATATTGACGTTGCTTAACGTATAACGTGTTCATGTTTTAATTAAATTACCTTAAAACTTGTGGTGAATATTTTACACTGAATATGGGCCATTAAAAATATTTAATGCAACGTGGAAGGGTATTAACAGGTTATCTGTTTCCGAGAAGTGTTTTAAATCGGCATATTATTGTTAAACAGCGATAAGCGACAGCTGCGCGGCTGCGGAACAAAGACTATATAATCCTGACATATTAAGTTGTTATGCAAATAACCTATATAGCTTCGGCGAACGGCGCACTCTCTAAAATGCCACGGTTATAGCTTACGTATGCGCATTATCTCTAAATAATTAAGTGGAAGTCAGTGTCGCAATTGAAAAATCGCGACACATCGGATAATGGCACGTTCCTCGAGATACGTGACATTGTACTTTGTCGACTAAAACAAATATTGCGATGAAACAACGACGAAACGGCGAACTTCGAATACCTACCTACATATAGTAAAAACATAATGTATCCATCGTTGTAATTGCAATAAGTGAAAATGAATTAACGTTAACGGGTACAGTTGGCTGAACGTCACCACTCTCGTTGGTCGTGGTCGTTTTTGAGTTCGGATCGGGCACAAAGGGGCTTGTACAGTTTTACCCACGCGTCGCGTTGCTTCATTTCATTCTTTTTTAATTGCGTCGCCCACATAACGCTCGCAGCGTGCATCGCTCCCTTTAGGCGGGTCCCGTGGTGCCTTTGAACTTTGCACGACGGCGAACGGGGCGCGAGCTATGCCTCTGCTCCGAGTTTACCCGTCACTCGACGAGAGGATCGACTAATTGGATTATAAACGAAACCCCGAGCTCTGGCCGATGATTACACAAAACGTCAGTTCACGACTTACCATCGAAGTAGTCGACGATGCGACGTAATACGAAACCAACTTAGGCTTACGATTGTTCCGTTTAAAAATACATATACCTATATAGTTATATGCATGTACCTACATCGAAATGAAAACAATTGAGGAGAGAAGCTATTCGCGGTCCACAATGGAAGCGACTTTAAAGACGACTTCTTGTATTTACGCGAATACCATACATTTTTGAATATAATTATGTTATAAATTTTATAGGATTCAATTTTGGTTTAATTTCCCTGGCGTTACGAACACACAAGTACATGTTCACGGGACTGTCTAGAAAACAACGGGAAAAGAACGTATCCCAGCCGTACTTAAAGATTTCAATTGACGTACAGACAAAATTCATTAATTAAAGGCCCATTTACACGGTGCCAGTTTCTTGCCTGTTGTATACAATTAAATTGAAGCAATAAATGAGTTGCATGGTCTAAACAAGAAATGGTCTAAACAATTATTGCGCGCAATTTATTGCATTCAATTATTGCTCTTGTATGTTCAAGAAAATGGCATCCTGTAAATGGGCCTTTATTCCATTGTCAGTTTCGAAAAAAGTTCTTCTTTCGAGAATGATCGATCAATTAGAAAAACCTTGCCATCGAGATGGCAACAGCTGTTTGTCTGTGGTATGGTGGAGGCAAACACAACCCCGTTGCTTGTACATGGTACAATGCAGCCAAATTGGTAAAGATTCAAAAATTCGACGGCGACAAAAGCGACACATTATCGCGGGCCTACTGCGACGTTACAACACTATGGCGAATAGACAGACAAAGCCTTTGTTCCAGCGCGCCGGGTTCGGCGGTGCTTATGCAAATTTCTTTTGAGGCGCGCAACAACCTTCCATTGCGGGAGCGCGTATACTTTATTGCTTGCAATGTTTAAACGAGCACAATACGAAGAAGTGTGCAGTGTCGGGCGCGCGCTTTTTAATGTCAAAATTTTAAGAGTACGATCACCTCTGATCACTGACGCGCCATGTACCAATCGTGCTGCAGCGCCACAAAGTAACAAAGCCTTATGATGTAAATTTTTACGCAGTTGGTCTGTTTTATTTCGCAGAAGATGTCTCAACCACGTAACCATGGACACAAAGCACACGACGAGCACGGAGTAACCGTTAGCGGCTTACAAACCTTTTAGTGACCGGCAAACACCTTGAAAAACGCATTCGTTTGCGCAGCATTCGATTTTTAGGTCCCTACTAAGCACTCAGTGCGGGGCGGCGGGGAATATGGACAGCGTAAACCAAGGTAATTGTTTGCATGAGCGTTTGCGCAAACTTTTCCCCCATTATGCTGCTTTTAGCCCAAGTCAGCCGGTCACTATATCAACCCGAATCGCAAGCTCAAATTATGTGCGTACGATTCAAAATTGTAATCTGCCGAGACGGGGCGTTCTTGCAATCCGCTTGCGAACGGAACAAACTTCCAATGCTTTCACCCTGTTAACGCTGTTCATTCGTCGTTCGTATCGAGTGACGCGTGTAGGTCGTTAGTTAGGTGGGTGTGTAAACATGTCGACTGTGGAAGGGCATAGCTGCGCCGGAGCGAGCTCCGATTTATCGGTTGGGCGCGGAGAGGCCGCCTCAACGACCCTGGCACCGACAAGCACCACCAGATAATTCCGCCGCATGACGTCACTGCGCGCCGATTCTCGCTTGAGGATAAACGGAGTTTTTCCTTCGACGCAGCTCGTCGACAGCGTGAAAACAACGGTACGACAGCGGGTATTCCTTTGTTATTCAAAAATTGAAATACAGCAGTCGTATGTCTCTTAACCGTTATTGGTCAGCGCCGTTATTAAAAAAACATAAAACCTTCAATATATAAGAATATACTCAAGATTATTCCGATCTAACTATAACTGCTCAGATGTTTGCTTTCCGTCAAACTTTTTACTATTTCTAATCAAAATTTGTAACACACAATCGCACCTGCCAAACTGCTTGTATGTATCGCTTAAAGAAAACTTAACCACGTAATACAACAAATAAACCCTCCGACCGATCCCTCGTTTCGGAAACGACGACACACCTCATTAACAGAGTAACGGGCGTTTCGACAAGAGCTAACAGGTCCATAATAATATTATATATTGTATCTTTCCCTCAACCTCTGGCGCGGACACCGGTGCTTATCGCGCCCGATAAAGGCATCCGAATTGTCAGCCCGCGTCGACACGCTATCGCCCTTCCGCGAAACCGTCAACAAACACGCACTATCGCGGAACGTTCCACAACAGTTCCCTAGTTGATTCCCGTCGTAAAAAGTCGGCCTTGCGACATCTTAATCCGTAAACGCTTACGATACAAACGCAAAATTGTTCCTTCCTCTCGCCGGTACGCCTTTACTCTTCATACGCGCCGGTTTCGTTGTGGAAAATTCCGATTGGCCTACAAATGATTTCCACTGTTGAATATTTTCTACAACAGCGATGTTAATCGTCGGCTACACTACTACTGATGATTTATCGCTTTTAATATTATTTTAAAATTCCCAACGTTTCGAACAGCTTACGGTTTCCACGGTCGCGACACGGAGGAGATGTCTTTTTTTATATTTAGCTTTGATACATTGAAATGGTTTTATTCAAAAGTGTGGAAGTACCATAAGTCATTATCGAATAATTCTAGGGTCAAGAACCAAGCCAATACAACTCCGCCATGGAGCCATCAAAACCATTCAACAAAAACTAAAATACAAAGCTAGTGTTTTACGTGAATTGTTGGAAAGTGAGCTGGGTGGTTCACCTGACGTAAAGTGATAACTGCCACCAATTGACATTTGCAACACCCGTAGGGTTGCAGATGTGTTGCCAACTTTTAATAAAGTGGACCCCGGTTACCTCACTCATCAGACGAAACGCGGAAGTATAACGCTTCCATTTACACACGACTTCTGTGACGTCGTGCTACTTACCCGGACGGACCTGCCCATTCGTGCAATAGGCGAAGCCGTTGCGTGGCCCTACCACAGGTAATGTTATAAATCGTAAGATTTAACAACATTTATATGTAAGTACATACATTGTCAGTTGAAACAAATAAGGGCGTTTTAAAAGCAAAATCCTGATATAATTTATCGAAGGATTAAGAAAAAATTTAATCTGGGTCGGTGTTGCATGACACGATGAAAATTTACAATACGCAGAATCTTATCAGGTGGAAGTCTTGTAAGAATTATGAATTTCTAGCTTCATTTCAGTTCAAGTGCAAAATTTTACTTACTTAGGATTTAGAAGTAAATTCTTACTCCACTTTTAAAGAGTCAAATATCTCCCGCACTCTAAACTATTTAGTATATGGATGGATATCATTTAAAGTTTTTCTTTCCACAGCGTTTTCATAATTTATATGTAAAATAGCAGTGAAGGTCTGATTTTTAAAAATTAATTACTCATACAATCCGATACCACGAAAGCGATAAAAATGGGGCTCGATTCAATTCCACATATTCCAACCGGAATTTATATTGTATACGCAATTTAAATACCAATACCGAACGCAGATAACTTTGAAATTCGTGAATCGATATTCGAAATTTGTTAACGTTTTAGTGACATCTAAAGTGGCGCGCTAAGATAGCTATTCTGCCGATGCATTAAGTTGTGTCTCCATCTAACGTCGAACTTAATAAATTGCACTGTCATTACCACAATGGCGAACGTACTCTGGCAAATGATACTTAGCTTTTTTGTTCCTATTCACGTTCTTTCCGAGCCGAGCTAGTCATGACTTTGTTCACTTCAGTCAATATTCGAATAGCACCCGTCATTGCGCATAGACCGCTTCAAAAACTTTTGCACAGATTGAATAAACATTTTTATAAAAAAAAAAGAAATAAAAAGGATTTCGATTTCATTTTGAGGACTTCCCTGATGCTCCCTGGAGTCCAAAATCTAATACTAATGAAATTAATACAAAGCCACAAAGCTATGGAGCTAACCCGAACCCAATGCAGAAATAATTTTTAAAATCGGTTCATAAATGACTAATTGAGGAAACCCTCCTTTTGTGAAGCCGATTGAAAAAAAATGAAAAATGCAGTTCCGTGATCCGTTAAGTTTCTTTATTGGTACAATATAGCGGGAAACGTCAGGTTAACGCATTAAAGAGACGGTGCCTAGTGCCTTTGTGGCGTCAATTTGGCATGAAGCCCAAGGATCACGGATTGTGCGTAGCTGCATTATAATCGATAGTATATCTAACGGCCGGTATCTACAGATAGTTTTGGTTACTGGAGATAGAATTTTGACTTAAGTATTATGGAGCTAATGTCAAATACCTATCGCTATTAACCTAATCAATCTGTAGATAGAATATTGAAACGGACCGTAAGCCGTCGCTCGGTCGCATGGCCTCACTTTATACTGTCAGTTTGATTTGATTACCAATGGAACAATAATAAAGGCGACATAAAATAAGTTGTTATGGCGAACGCGCCGGTACACGAAATACGTGTATATTTCGTGGCCGCGTGTTTAATGTACATTGATTGGTACATCAAACAGATTTATGATTTTTCGTCCAAGTGAATGTAACGCCCTGTTCCATCAGTTTTTAGCGCTGTCCACTAAACTCTTAGAGCACTACAAATTCGTAGGCCGAGGCTGAATCGCGAAAAGTTATTAAAGCAGACGACTGTCTTCGTAAACATTAGAACGGTCGTCTTTTCTCTGCGTTTATGGAGAGCCACGACACGGCTCACGCTACGCACGTTGAATAACAAACTCCGTGTGTGCATTATATGCATTTTTATGGATTTCCTAACAGGACATGCGTCTAGCGATTCGAATTGAAATGGGAAAAGATAACAATACAGAGACCGATGTGGCCGACCGGCTTGTCGGAGTGTTCTCAAAGTTTGTATGAACGAACATATGTAGATTGCAGCATTTGACGAGCGATATTATAATAAGACAGATCGTGTATTGACTATTTTACTACGACCTCGCACAGTTACGCCTGTTAAATAACTTTTCTTCATTCATTAGCGTAGATTAGTAGATTAGTCGAACTTCCTCTCATTTCTGAAGTTCATTGAACGAAAACAAAACCGACGACTAATATCTTGTTCTGTATTCATGTTATAATTGATTTTCCCTAAGTATCTCTGGAGCCCAAGATCAAATACCAATGAAATTAATATGGGGACCACGTGGGAAGCACCAGCTTTCAAATAAACAAATGATCATCAAAATCGGTTCACTCAGCGAAATTTCTGAGGTAACAGACATAAAAAAATACAGTCGATTTGAGAACCTCCCCTTTTTTGAAGTCGGTTAAGAATTCGCCAAAAAGGCTTTCGTTCGACATAAGCGCTGAGACAGATCATTGGCTTGCGAATGCGCGGCACCTTAGAAAAACCTCAGTGGACAAACTCTGATAAAACCAAGCCCACTGAGGCATTGCTAGCGTCGCCCTTACCAGGAATTTCGAAATCCTCCATGTTATCGCGTTGGACGTTGCCCATTAGCGTACTCGATTGTTTATTGTGCATACAGGTCCGGCTGGTGCCGGCTCTAATCTTATCGCAACGATTATCATTCGATAGTACCCGCCGAGTGCTGTCTACGTGCGAAGGTTTTAAGCTTCATTTTTTTTAATAATGCTGACTGGGATTTTTCGTCGCTGGTAAACAATATGAAAAATATGTACTATTGGAACATATTATTATTATGTGGCCACAATATATTTTTTTTAGACGAATTAGAGTTACGGTTTCCATTCCCGTAGTAAGAGTAAAATCGTATACAATATTATGTTTATAAACATCGCCGCAAGATGATCTCTTCAAATCTTCCTATAGTAATAGAATAATTATAAATAATTTCGTTAGACATATACATATATTCAGATAAATGTTTAGAATAAAGTAATACTAGTTTCTAACTACACTTCGGCATTTAATATCACGAGACGGCCTGATAGCGTAAGACATACTAATGGCACTGTTAGTCTGGTCTATGTGTTTTCATAATTATTAATTTGAATCCGATTTAATAATTTTATTCATAATTATAACAGCATCGCAACTCGGGATTTCAAGATATTATCTATACTATTATGTTTATAACAAACGCGATAAATCCGTAAAAATATATAATAATAATTTAACGTGTAATATTGGCTTAACATAACAAATTGATATACTTAAATACTTCGATAAACATCGAAAGTATAGCGGACTAGTATTTGAATCAGTTCCACGCGTTTTATAACTCATCCTATTTATATTTAGATGATTATAAATAGACTGCCCAGGTGTTGTTGGAGTCTAATCTATATCTATGCTAGTGATTGTTCAACATTCAGCCACAGTCACGGTGCGTAAAATTAGCGTGCCTATTCTTAGATGTCGAAATTTAGAGTGCACATTCCCGAAATAGCACCGCGGAGATAACGAAAGTATCGCTACAGCTTGAGCTATGGGCAAGATTTGATGCGCAGCAGAGCGTCGATTAATGTTCAAACAAATATTGAGCGCACACAAGCTGCTGTTTACTTAAAGGATGCAATGTACGATTGTTGTTTTTTTTTTCTTATAGAAATCGTACAAACGAGTTTTCCATCTACCGCACTTGGTGTGCAATCTTATTAGTTGAAATTTTGAAGGTTACGTTTGTTTTGCGTGGCGTTCGATGCGGGTAAATAAATTATTGTAGATCAAGGGCCATAGTTTAGTTTCAAATAAAAATTCAAAGAGATTAACGCAGACTCTACGAGTTAAAGTGTTTGGTTCGAAAATGCCCGGACGGGATTGGAGGTCTAGTTCAGACCAATGCGGGGCAATTAGAGGTGAGCAAACGACCTACAGTGGCCACAATGGCGATGCAAATAATCGCGATTATGGCAAGGTTGATGTCGGCCGCCCGGGGTTCGTTCAACTGACCGCGAACGATGACACGGCGCGCGCGCAGCGTCGCGGCGCCCGCAACTCGGCCATCTCACACGACCCCGTGCAATACAAACAACCCCAACGCAACAGTCGCAATACAGAATAAATGTGACGCAATCCACGCGATCGCCCGCCACAACACCACACTCACCGGTATCCAATCTCAGCGGCGGATTGCAATCCAATAGCGCACAACACTGCACAGCGGTCCACTTGCGGGCTATAGGGCGATAGGAAAAAACTTGTCGCGACACGACACGGACGGGCGCGCGCGCGACGACAACAATCGGCCAGATGTCTGGAAAACCCCTGGTCGGGCGCGGGCGCGGAGGGCGCCGTGTGAATATCGCGCGGCGGCCGGACAAAGGTTTCTGTCGCCCGAGGCGTGGTGCGAGTGCGGGACGCGATGCGCGCGGTCAGCGGCGGTGCGTGGCGTGGAGTGAGGCTCGCGCGCCGGCCCCGCCGCCGCCTGATAAGCCTGGCGCGACGCCCCCCGGCGACGCCTACGCCCCACTCGGCGCCGGAGCGGTGCGGCGCGCACCACCGGCCGCCCCTCGGCAACGGCGCCGCCAGACGGGCCCCCGCGCATCGTGCACCGCGCCCACGCTGCTTTCGCAACTGCACCGCCACCCGCCGGCCACTTTCGACGGCGAGGAGAGACGCGAATTCGCCCCGGTTTCGCAACAGCGCCCAGGTGCCGCCGGGAACAATGGCCGTGCATGCAGCCTTTTCGGCTGCCGCCTTTGGGCAATCGGGTCGGGCTGAAACTCAATATGCGACGCGATCGCGCTCGCTACGTAAACGGAATAATTGAATTAGTGCGAGCGTGTCGGGCACGGGCGGCGGCTGGCGTCGGCCACCTATGAAGGTGGAGTGTCGAAACGTTAAGGGCTACGTCAACACCTCATTTGATTGAACGTCACCCTCACTCCGAAGACCCAAATCGTATCTGACCCGAGCGGTGTCTGACTACTACGTCTCGGACTGTAGTAATATGGGCTATGTTTACAGTAAAAATACTCAGGGCCGTATTGTACGATTCAAACAGTAATTTCAATCTTGAATCACGGGTAACTATTACGGATTCGAATCGAAGTTATTATAATAATGTATTCTTAAACGTGAGCCAAGTCAACGAGCCGTAACGGAACGATCGTGACATTTAAATAACTGGTTGGGGGCGTTGAAATTTTCAGTTTGGTTCAACTGTTTTACTGCCATAAATTTTGAACGTAATTGTTTTTCAACCTAACTATAGAAATACGATTCAGTTTTAACACTTTCATAGTCCTTACGTGGTGGCGTGCTGGTGGGGAAAACGAGACATGGAGAGACAGAGATGCACTGAGGAAAAGCGTTGCAATAAGGATAGGTCCGCACCTACACAGCAATCGAAACTTGAAATATGCCGGCAAGGCCAGAATACACGAAAACAATAACAACATTTGCGAAGCGTTACACGCAATGTGTTTGCTTCCTAATCTCCGCTTGCCAAAGTTCAATGGCCTCGGTGCAGATGACCTTCGTAATTACTTATATTCACACAACATGCAATAAAAATACTAGACATGCGTAACGTACATGTTTACACACTCGTAAATAATATAGTAATTCTCAAAAAACAGAAGAATACCCAGAACTTAGGACATTTAAGATACATTATTAGCCACGAAAGTCTCCCGTCATCCGGGGAAGTACCACGTCCTCACAGAAAACCGGCATGGAGTGGAAGTGTAACACTTCTGCTTTTCGTCTGGTGAGTGAGGTAACCGGGGCCCACTTCATTAAAACTGGCAACGCATCTGCAACCCCACGGGTGTTGTAAATGTCTATGGGCGGCGATTATCACTTAAAATCAGATGAACCGCCATCTCGATTCCCACCTTCGAACATAAAAAAATGTAATTTAAAAAGTATACTACGGTATACAATATCACGAATATTATTTTCGAAAAGAGAAAAAAAGTATTTGTCAATTAATTCGTGGGATTTACTAAAGCTCGAATGCGACGTAAAAGTATCGGAAATTGCGAACCGCGTGGGAGTAGCTAAATACGAAATTGGCTTCGGCGAATTGCGGCCGGCCGGTCGAAGCGCATTAACTCTGTACGGTGCGCAACATTTAAAGACGAGTATCTCGCGATCTTTGGGCGCGCATTCGTTTATCTGGTTGTCTGGTTAACTTTTATAAACTCACTAAAAGGAACATGAATAAACATAGGGGAGCATACATGAACATATATAAAAAAATATTTGTAAACAAAATCTAATCAAAACTTTTCTAGAGATTTTATCGCGTTACATTTAATTTCAGCGTATCAGTCGGCTTATCGATTTGTCGTTTTTGGTCCATCGGTCCAAGCTGTGCAGAAGATTCTTAGTCTTGTGTTACTCTCCTTCGGTTTAGTACAATAACAATTTCGCATAATATGATCATTGCACGTCACCTAACAAGAAGCATTGACGAGCGTCAAGTAACTCACACAACTACGAAAATCGAAATAGTACTGACAACGTATTACACGTTTACATATTAGTACAGTCACCGACGAATGCACATTTATAAAAACATGTCATTTAACTTGATCACTGTGCAAAGCTGTGAGAAGTATGTGCAACATTTCAATCTCGTGACGATGAAACATTTGAAGGGAAAAGATAACGAAGCGCTGAGAGATGATTTAAGCGACGCCCATCAGCGTCAGTGGAAACGCAGACGAGGTCGTAAATGTTTACGAGTGCATTACACCCGCTCCGACACGCCCGTGTAAATTATCCATCGACTGGACAACTTGCACGGAATCATGCGATCCAGTATTTGTCGAGTAAATCCCCGCCTCGGCATACAAATCATTAAAAGGTACGGCCGTGATCCTGATTGACCCCGTACGCTTGCAGGGGCCAATATTTAATCAGCTCACACAAAGGATGCAGCGGGAATCATTGACGGATACAAATGTAAACATTTACGTGTGGGGTTATAAAAATATCCACACGAAAGTATGTGATGGCCCTTGTGATTTCTCGGTTTTCTTGCCATACTTTGTTGCCCATTGTAAATAAAAGTAATATTCTAAGAAATTTACGGCGTTCAATTTTTTTTTTGATTCATGATTAATATTTCGATTAATTTTAGGTGCACTTTTTCTTTTCAATGCGATTCGTCACATAAAACAGCAGTACCCGGAGGACCGATCTTTGCTCGGTTTGTTTTTTTTTTTGGTAAATCGTGTGTTTTGAAAATAACATTTAGATACAAATTACTGAGTAATGAAATATGCATAATATTTTTCGATCTTACCGACGTAATAATAAGAAAATATGAACTGATGTTTTTCCACAAAAGAAAATAAAAAGGGAAAAAAAATAACAAAATAACAAATCGACAAAAAATTAAAAATAAAGAAAGCAATGATCTGGAATCGAAAAAAAGTAAAAAAATAAATGTGTAAATGATCGTGACACGAACCACGGCCTTCTGTTTCGGGGCCGCCCGATTACCGACCGAGCTATTATAACATTTTCTTTTGCGGCGAAATTTACCGTCGCATTCGAATGATATTTTTCATTCCCTGAAAACAGGGATAAAAGGACATTTTCTAAAAATAAAACCTAGCTAGATCGATTTTTCGCCCCCGAATCTACGCACATACTAAATTTCATGAAAATCGCTGGAGCCGTTTCCGAGATTCCGATTATATATATATATATACAAGAATTGCTCGTTTAAAGGATAAGATACAAACGGAAGACCTAGTTCAGACACATTTACTGACACTTAAACAAAAAATTATAATATTAAAGTTTTTTTTTTATATGTGAAAAGTTGCCATGAGCAGACGGTTCACCTGATGGTAAGTGAATACCGCCGCCCATGGACATCTGCTACATCCGAGGGTTACAGATGCGTTGACAACCTTTTGAAAATTGGGCTCCGGCTACCTCACTCACCAGACGAAACGCGAAAATATTTGTCATACTTCCACTTTAAGCTGGTCTTCTGTGAGGTGAGTAAATGATGAAATAAAACAAGTTTTATACAATTTAACGAGGGGCTTATAAATAATGATAGAAACAAAAATAAGTCACGAGGAATATAATACGCAATAATAATAATAATAAATCATTTAATCAATTCACCAAACAAGAAAAGTAGAGGTAAATATAAAAAAATAATCGAAATATGTGTAGCTAAGGTTTTATATTGTTATGTTAATACATAAAACACGTAACAATATAAAACCTCAACGGTAAAATTATGTTGAAATAATTTAAAGATGCTACAATTGAAACAAAAATCTACATTACATTGTCCCAAACGCGCGGGGCGAATCAAGAAATCCGACGGAGGGCTTTAGCCCACATAAATTACGAGATTAATCTCTTCAAATAATTTGACCTTACCGACTGACGAGGGTTCATTAAATAATGGCATTGGTATTGGGACCGATGTTATTGTGCCGTCTATCAATTTTATGTCTGAGCCGGCGAGTTTGGCTCGATTCGGTCCCGTATGAAAGCGTTGGTGGGGGGCGGCTATCTGTCTGCTTACTACAATAGCGTCCGATAAACCGGGGAGATTCCCATCACAATGTCACTTATAATTCTTGTAACACAATCGTTCTATTCGTGGCAACTTTGTCGATATAACGTCTAATAATAATCATTATAAGTATAATTGTTCTGTGCGTGTGTGTGTCTGAACTCTTCCAAGTCGCTGGACGGATTTTGATGATTTTTTTTGGATTCATTCAAGTGGATTCCAGAATGGTTTAGATACACAATACAGTCCCCTTCAATATGTTTTATCAATTTTTAATTCATAAGTTGTTGTCGGATTGAGGACGCGTACAGGATAGTCTTTCGGGTCCGCTAATTGTTAAATAAAATTATTACAACAGAGTCTGATCTGATTTTTATAGTCATTATGGATTTCGAAAACGGGCCCATGCCCAATAAGGTCATTTAAATAGTTTTATTTTAAAACTCGGTAAATTAATTTTAGCTACATTTCCCGCAAAATAGGCAAAATAAAACAATTACATCAGGCCAAAGAACAAGCGTAATCATACAAAGAGCAAACACGCGCGGCGGCACCTGGATAGTTATCCAATGAGCGTATCTCGTTTCTCACGGCCCGCCGGCCGGCTGAACCGTCGCGACCAAGAAATGTGGGGCACGGCGTTTCATAGCAGCGATAATGCACGTGCGCAGCGTCTTTCGATACGTAGACGGAGACGGAGGCGGAAACGCGGAAAATGTCAGCGATCCAAAGAGCGTCGGGCGCGGCCCGTGACCATAAGCGGCCGCAAGGATAACGCAGCTGCCCGCAGATATCGGGCTCGTTGCCGTGACGTAATTGTTATTGCAGCGCGCGCGAACAAAGAAAACGCGCGCGCACTTATCGCGCGAACGCTTTTGCCTTTGTTCGAACGTCGAACGGTTTAGTATTTTTTTTATTATTATCTTTTTTCTGATAACTTACTTCGGGCCTGCGTTTCTTTCCATTCATCCGGGTGCACAGCATATACAAGACTAGGGCCTATGCTTGGCCTGTAGTCCTATTTTACAAAGCTTATTTTAGAAGGTATTAAAATTGAGATTGACTTTGTCTTGGTGCTCTTGCGCGTCATTGAAGCCATGCCCTATTATTAGCATAAGTTGTAATTTTAAATTGAAGTTATTAAATAACACTATTTTTAGATTTATTTTAAAATCGATGACTGCGGGTAATGTAACCTAAATTTACTTCAAACTTAACAATGTAAATGTTGCATTTATGATGTTCACAACGGTGATTTATTAAATTATGAGGAATGATGACTTTTCCACAGGATCCAAGATGGAGACAACATATTATTGATCCACCGATAGTGACCGTGTAAAGCGTTTAGATGTCACGATCAGTGGCTAACTATATTGTAACGTGGCTTAACGCGACCTTGACGTTTTGCATGCAACGAAATAGGTGTACTCTTATAATATGACAAAACGATATACATCTAAGTAGATTAGTAAGCATAGGTACTATACGTCAAGGGACGCCATTTCGGGGTCGTAAAGCTAAGCTACCGGTCAATCGATTAGGAAGAACCTCATTACGAAACGCTGGTAGATTAAAAAAATACTATCGATAGATGAAATGTATAATGTATCTTATGTCGATGAATAAATGATTTTGATTTTAATCGCTCTTGATGTCTTAGATGTACCTCCGCGTACATAAAAAAATTAAAACGACTACAGATTACCACAAAAACTATACGAATATATTTCAACAGTCGCTTATGACAACAACTCCATGGGGAAACATTCTTTAGAAAGGCGTCTAAAGTTGACCACCCCTGGAATAAACTAAAAACAATCAACGAGGCCAAAGTACTTTGCGTACCATTTTCCTTTGTCTACTAGATTCGTGAACGAATCGAGATTTTATGTTAATTTTAACGACGGCGGATTCATAATCGAGAGATCGTAGTAGGTACGTTGTCCGCGTACCCGTCCGGCGGAATGCCGTGCGTACCTTTCGTATGACTCATCACTCAATCCTTGGCCCTATTACCTTAACAGTACCATAAAAACCTGCAAAAACCTGACAAAGCGACTGTACGGCTTCTGTAAAGAGACTATATCAACGGTAGAGAGCCTTTGCGGAATTTTTTCTATTAGCACCATAACCATACCCATTGTTGTCCGATAACACTGCTTCGGGAAAGAATAGACAGTTGAGTGGATAAGTGTATTTTCAGTAAACAGTGATAAATATCTGAATTTCTTATTGCCCCTTTTGGGTCTTCCGACGTAACGGGCATTAAAAAAAGACCCATTGTTGCCCAATACGTCGACAAAGCCTTTTTTTACTTTACTTTGACTGATGTTTTTTTCTTTCAGTTTGTAGACTATTAAAGTTTCATCGAACGCGGGATTTGTACTTGGACACTGCGTTTGACATTTTCGCATGTCCTCATGCTTTATCTATTGGGAGGTAAAGTCACTTACGGGCCATCAAGGTTCGGGATCGACCGTGACCCCGACACTAGTAGTGTTTATTTTCGTAAATTTTTGACTTCTTTTATGTGAAAAAATGCCAAGCGAGCAGGCGGTTCAACTGATGCTAAGTGATTGTCGCCCATGGACAAATACCAATACCAGAGAGCTAACAGATGCGTTGACAACCTTTAAAAAAGTGGACCCCGACTACCACACTCACCAGACGAAACGCGAAATTATATACCTCTACTTCACGCTGGTTTTCTGTGAGGCCGTGGTACTTCCCCGTACGAGCGTGCCCATTTGTGCAACAGCAGAAGATACAGCGTGACCTTACCAAACTGAACACATACGTGAAAAAAAAGTTGTAACGTGCAAATTACTGAAACGTATTTGAAGGACTGTTATAGTCTCCTAAAATTAAGAGCCAATAAACTATTTGCAACCTCAACAAGCAGGCAAATTCGAAAGTATTCATATTTCGATATAGAAACGGCTTAAGCACGTTCCCCGAAGGACTTTAAGTCGACGGTTAATTTTCTCGCTGCGCGTTCATAAAAAGATAAAAACACGACATTCAAAGGGGATTACACAATACTACTGCATTCCTCGGTCATTAAGTCCTTTATAAGGCACGCATCAACTTTAATGGCCACCGATGAGGTCGGACAGCAGCTCTTTATGCTTGTAAAAGAATGTGTTTGTCCGCACTTAAGAAGCGTGGCGAACGGGCCACGGCGGCCCATCCATCAACTACAAATCGACCCCCACGCCAGGGGTGGGGAACGTTTTTAAAACTTTGCGCCATTATTTTCAAAGAAATTAAAATAGAGACATGCCGCCCACAACAGTTTGTTCAGAAATGCCAGAGAAATGTTTCTCACTTAAATTACTGTACCAAATCATACTGAACGATGTGTTATCTCCAATTTGAACTAATAGCAACATCAATTTCGGTATTAAGTTTCCAAATTATTTCATATCGTGCCATTGGTTCGCCCGTCCTGCCCTATACCTAAAGCACACGTCTTCGTTGTATATTGTCGAAAACATTAATGTTTTCCAAGTGCCTACAATAATGTATTTATAGGATTCGGGTTATCGCAGCTTTAATAACAGGAAAGTGTACGTTAATTGACATTTATTGCGGTTGACATTTTCGTCTTAATTACAACAAATAACAGTCAACACGATGGAGATTTATTTTCAATAATGGAGTGTTTGTGAATTCACGAGACCTCCGCGAAATATTCTGCGTTCGATCTGTCGTATCAATGATTATTAATACAGCGGACCCGAACAAAGTCTGTCCACAGTCTTGAAATGAGAACTCACTGTGAAGTTAACTTCACATTCAGTTTTTTTTTTGTTTAAACTGTTGAAATAAAAAAAAAGACTGCACTTAATAAATAAATAAATTTAGTCAACTAACTGAGGTATCTGCGTGAGGCCGAGGTGAAGTTAAAAAGGCATCTGAGGACGAGTAGACATTTTACCTTCGTTGATATTTATTTTTGACGATACACTTCACTGTCATATTCAAAACTGTTTCGTATTTACTCAATTTACAATTGCCAAGGAGCGAGATACCTTTTATACTATTCGGTGACGGCTACGTGGGTGGCTTTCTACGGGGCAAGCGTATTGCGCGGCAGATATGACGGACTAGCTCCGGTGTCACAGTCAGCTTACGAACAATGAGCGTACGAGACGCGACGGTTCGAACTAAGGTAGCTTTCACACCTATCTAAATTAGCGACAGACCCGTGTTTAAAACTAAACTAACTTCAGATGTTCATCTAGTTAAATTTCAACTAAAAACTGCCAATTTTTCGAATACTTTGGTTACGTTATATTCGTTGTCACGGGATTTTTCTTGAATATATAATATACGATGACGCATAAGGCAACATATTACGATATAACAACGACTAACATAGTAGTTATGTTGTTTTATTGTGGTAGGTAGTTAAATGGGGAGGCGCGTCTGGGGACCTACCACAGCCTCACAGGATGCCAGCGTGGAGTGGAAGTTTACTTTATCCTATCGTCTGATGAGTATAGTAATAAATGGTTCTCACTCTTTTAAATGGTAAAAAATCTTTTAAATGGTTAAATAGTAAATGGTAAAACTCATTATCAAACCGTCAGGGGTTGAAGATGTCCATGGGCGGCAGGAATCACAATACCAGTTGAAAAGCCTGCTCGCTTGCCTCTTCACGCTTTCGCATTTTCTTCAAAAATGCTGCCATAGTAGGTATATGACTATATACTGCTGGCCCTCAGAGGATAGATATTCATAAAGGAAACCGATAAAATGACGCAGATACCCCATAATATTTGATACTTTATTGATTTAGAAATAATTCGAGAGTATTCGAAGTCAGTTCTGTTCGCTTGTGATCAAATTCAAAAGACAACCAAGCCCAACACTAACGGGGTTGTGGGACACGAAATAAAACGTATGAGTCGGAACGTCGTTAAGCGTTTAAACGTCCATAATTTTTATGGGCGGCAATTTGTGGAGGGCAGTACGGAATTTAAATTTTAAAAGCGCGCCGCTGGAGACAATGGGCACACTTTGTGTAATGGACGAAAGCGGATAACACGGCCCAAGCTATCGGTAACCACGGCAATAAAGGACTCCACTCAGAAACTTTGTTAACGCGTCTGGCTACTTAAGAGCTGCTAGCGATAGTTTATTACGGTGCACCGAAGCTGATGTCGGAACAAGGGTCGATTGTTCCTTCCTTCCCAAAGTTTCACTGGTATCCTAAATAATAGACTTAACGAAACGTACACAAAGCAAAAGAGCCTTTGATGAGTCTCCTTTGGTTAAAGAAAGAGAAAACATTTAGTTTATAAATAATCTAAAACATTACGTGATACATGTAAGATTATTTCTATTTAATAAATCAAGTAAGAAAAATAATTTAAGGGTGAAATCACTTAAGTATTAAAACACAGATTTGTTATAGGTAACCGTAAAATGAATTTATATACACTTTATTTAGAACAAAGGCTCTATACTAGTGAACAAACAAACTGTTAATAGTCCAGTTCAACTTCCGTCATATTAAATAACAAAGTACAAACAAGTAAACCTCCGATTTTCCGCTATAACCTAATTAGAGTGCAATAATTCTAGAACAATTACGACCGTGTGTCACAAGATTTATTGCAACAAATTATGATTTATTGCCAATGGAGGCATTCAAAAGGTTCTTCAACTGGCCAATGCCAGCATTTCGCTGTAGAGTTTTTAAAGCGACATCCACAGTAGATTCAAGTACTCGACAATTAGAGCAAATTGCCCACATCCGGGCTCTATTGGTTGGTACTGTTTAAAAGGTGTCGGTCAATCTAACCCATCTGCTACAATCATTTGAAATAAATTGCAACTGTCTTCTGTGTTTAAATATTTCTTATAAAATGAAGTAAACTTGAACACGTTGAGGAAAAATACATATCTATATCTACCGATGGAATGTTTATTCTCCCAAAACAAAAGTAAGGTTAATTCAAAAGTCAGTGTTTTTTTTTAAATATATCAACTTAATATAGACTATTTGAATTATATAAAAAAATATATGTATTCTATTATGTCCTACGCAGATTGCCCGGAAAAAGAGACAGCGACAAGAGGACGACAAACGTCGCAGTCGGTTCGGTGCGTTTCAGGAAAATCCGTTCATAAATTATATTTTTTTTAAAAAGCGTACCATTCGCTCAAACATTTGTAATTATTACGCGCTGACAAATGCTTGTTGCAGTTTCAAAAGATGCAATGTTTAAAAAGCATTTGACAACAGAAAAGAAAAAGGGGGATAATTTGAAATGGAAACCGATTCGGCGGTGGCGCGTCCGTCGTTTGGGGAATACCGCGCACGTGCGCCGTTCTTGGAAGTGGCGCGGCGCGGGGAGAAATTTCACAAGCGCTATGTGGGTCAAGACGGGCGGACTCGAAGTTTTCGCCTCGCAAAGGTTAGCAACGCGGCCGCAGACAAGTCCGGTTGGTGTGTTGCACAATTGTTACACTCGTTCAGATCAGATCCCTAAAGACGTATATCCAGTTGCAATGGATTCAAATAGTGTGTATAGTAATATTATTGACGTAACAAGTCCCGTTGAGGTGTCGGCCAATTGTTAGACTAGTTCAACCGATCCCGAATGATCAGTTTCTTCGAGTGCAATTGACTCGATTGGTGTGTTTAAATTATCTAATCCTAACGATTCATAAAACTCGGAGTAACTGTTGATGTCTCAGTCGAACGAGCACTAACGCATCGATAATAAAAAACAGATAAATTCGTGCGTTATTGACTCCACGCGATAAGGCGCAACACGATTTAGTTGTGACGTCAAGGGCGACCTTAATCGGGCCGCGGCGTTTACGAATTCAACGTGTTACTAGTCGAAAACTAATAGTGCATGATTCGGGTTTTACCCGAGGATTTCATTCAAGAGTCAGTCGGTTATCCACGAGGCGAGTTTCAAAAGCAAACATGTTTGCGGTCAGTGACGCGATCAGTAATCCTTACAGTGTACTGTACTATATTATTCCAAGAACTTGGAATTAAAAAAAAACAGAAACTTGGTGTAAATCACTAATTTTACCGTGTACATGTAAACCTAGATGTGAAGACGAAAGCAACTAAAACGGTCAACATCGGAATCAATAGAAATGATTGATGAAATTAATACGACACAACTTCGTTTATTGGCAGATAGTTTACATAACATATTATGTGAAGTGAACTACGCATTTCAAATTACGTAACATAACGCAAAGGTGTCTACGTGACCCTAAACTGCATCACACATCGACAACCTGTACCAGGTAATTCCACGGAAAGTTATAGATAAAAGAAAAAAATTACCCAATACCGTTTCGAAATTTCTAGAACTCGGAATAAGACGTGAGAAACTAGAAAAGTAGATAACGATAAACAAAACAAAATAACTACATTAATGTATGTATCCATATTTCAATTTTCAGTATTGTCGAGTGCCAAGAAATTCGTGGAACCTCACTCAATTGGCACGCTAGAGGGAAGGGCGAAGTGTGACGAAAGCTTATGACGTCATGCCATCGTACAATTAGAGTCTCCACTACAACGAGAAATAATGAACCGGTCTATTCATGCGCTTATGCTTAAGAATCGTAGTAAAACCTATGTATTTATGAATCTTTTGTAGCTTCAAAAGATTCAATAAAAATGGTTCACGGATTATATCACGAATTTCTTTTATTTTGACTCCAGTCCATGGTCACGACGGGCTGACATAAAACACGATAAAATCCATGAAATAGTTTCAATTAGTCAAGAACATTTAAATCTTGATTGTATATACAAATTAACTTAACGCAAACGAAAACAATATTAAAACATATGTAATATGATTGTAACAACAAAACATTTTGCAGGCATTATCGTAAAGCAGGTACTACGCATTTATAAATTTTCTCAGATTAGTAGCGCCATCTATGATTAAGAAGTGGAAACGAATAATGTTGCCAATATTTATGATACCATAGTATTTCGCGCTTGAGTTTATTCTTTTGTAGGTATTTCATTTTAACTATAATGGAGAACAAGCCGTATTTAAATGAATGATGTCATCAGAACTAATGGCAAAAGCAATATGCGATAAGAAACAATTCCCAATGTTCGGCTGATCGTAGCATATGGTAGGGGGGTAATAACAAAGTATGTTATAGACATAACTTGAATAAACAAACACTGATATGTATATAGAAAATTGAGAATCTAAGAACTACAAAGCTTTCAAAAATTTAAGGCAAAATATTCATGTGTCTAAAAAAATAATTATGACACGCGACAGAGTTTGGAAAGTTGTTTACGATTCGGAACACGGATGCGAATGTTTGGCGACCCGAATGGAGCCGTAGAGAGCGTAGCAATGGACTCACCACAGGCTTGTTGTACTCGTCCGTTTGATAGTCGAACATGGTAGCGAACATAAGACTGTCGTCCTGCTCGCCGCTGAGGTGGTATGGCACCAACTGAGACATGAGTGTTCAATTCCTTCACAACAGTCCTCAACAACAGCAACACTGAAGGCGGTACGGAGCGAAAAAACTTCGGACGCGGCGCTAAATCACACCTGATAAGAGCATGAGTCATACGCTTCCCGCTAAATGTGAAACGTGCTCGCTTGTACAATGTTTTATATCGGACTGAGCGAGTCCGCGGCACGGCGGCCGGTTTTGTAGGATGGCGGGCGTCGCGGCGCGCGCACGCGCGAATTTCGTCGCGTCGCCGAAACGACCTATGCGACTTCTGTCGACCGTTTGCACCGAAACATTCGAACAATGCGAGTGTGCCGCCAAAAAGTCGAAATCCCGCGTTTCTGCGAACGGACCGATGGATGGTTTCCTCATGACGGCCACGTGGGGTGTATTTTGGCAAAATCCACAGAGCGTTTGATAGTATGTAAACGTAAACATCTGCGGATGCCTCTCCGATTCTGTCATCGCGTTAAAGAGTTATAATAAACGCCTGCGTGAAAAAAAGCGAGAAAAAATACATTTTGTAAGTGAGAAAGTAGCAATCGAGCTGGCGGTTCACCTGAAGTTAAGTATTAAACGCCGCCCAAAGGCATTTGCAACACCCCGCAGGATATCAGATGCTATGCTATCTTTTAATAAAGTGGGCCCCAGCTACCTTAGTCGCCAGACGAAACGCAAAAGTATAAAACTTCTACTTTATGCTTGTTTAACAGCTACCAAACGTTTTGAATGTTAAGTGAAATGGTTCCAGATTACAACCTTTTGAAAATTGGGCTCCGGCCAGATTCACCAGAGAAATGCGGTTTTATACTTCACCTGTGAGGTCGTGGTACTTACCCGGACGAGTCTGCCCATTCGTGCAACAGCCGAGGCTGCTGCGTTGCTCTACCACCGTTGACCCTTTTTGTATTCGGTCAACAAAATCTGTAAAGCTCTGAAATCGACACGGGCTAATATATCTGGGAAGCAAAAACCTCATTTTCTATGCATTAGTCTAGGTAATCTTTCAAGGAATAATAACATAAAAGCCAATATTGCAATAGATTCGTAAAAAACAAACTTGCGGCCAAAACTAAATCCGGAAACCTTGAACTGAGAAATAAGCGATTTGGCGGCACGGCGGCAAGTTGCCAGAATAATGTTTAAATATTCATTTTATTTAATGTCATTATTATCGAAAACTTTATTCTACTTTAATATGAAAAGGGAGATAGATATCTTAGAGGAACCAAATTGGAGTAGACATTTGCATGATCTTATTCGAATATAAGTCTAACGACGAATATTCTTACCAGTTTAGTGTTTAAATTAATATATTTTATCGATATTTTATATTACATATTTTAGTTTATAGATATTTTATTATTACACAAATATAATATATTCAAACCCAACTTCAACGTAAACCGTGATCGTCATTTGAAATGTACAGAAAATTTTAACTCCTGTACTTCAAAGACAAAAAGAAATTGTTAAAATTTCATCATTTCATTATCCGTTCGGAATGAGGTTGTCGAAATGGAATCGCTTGCCGGGCGATGCGAGCAAGAAGTTTATAGTGGAGGCCAATACGAGATAGATTGGAAGGCAAGGTCGATGTTAATGTCAAATTAATAGTACGCAAAAAAGGGCAGACCGTTTTACGTTTTTTGCTAAACAACTCGGATTCGATGGCGTTTGTATGAAGCACTATTCTGACTGGAAAAGTCTTCAGTCTAAAAAGCTTAATTAGAATTCAGATAACCCTCAGCGAAATATGCAAACCAAGAGCAAATTTAAAGGATTAATACATTGCGATACGATGCGTAGGAAACATAATTGAAGTATAATGGCGTAGTGCCCTACATGTAAACTCCTTGCTTATTTTGAAGATAAGATTTATAAATATACACACAAAAGCTATCTAAACAAACCTGCCAAGTGCGAGTCGGGCACGCTCACGAAGGATTCCGTACAATTACATAATCCGTACAAATACAATAAAAATTATGTCTGTTGTATGGGAACCCCACTTAAGTATTTTTTATTCTGTTTTTTATTTTATAGCGGCAACAGAAAAACATCATCTGTGAAAATTTCAACTGTCTAACTATCACGTTAACAGTAGTAACAATAGTAATCGTGCAAATATCGGCCATAACCTAATGTGATATGGCAAATTGATAAATCGATTTGTAATGAAAAGAGACTTGATATAGATGTGAAGCCCGTGTCAGATATCACCACTCAACCATAGGATGATAAAAACGTTAAAGAACGCTATACTTGAGCTGCAATGAATGAGAGAAATTAAATTACAGAAAATAAAATATAATAAAAAGAAGAAAAGTTCTAGCGTATAAATCAATTACATTCATTACTTTCTGCTCAATAACATTTATTACCTCCTGGGTTAATAACGAATATTAACGCTTGGTACTTCATGCTCAAAATTCAAAACAATCCACAGCATTAGCACAACAATGAACATGAAACTAGCAATAATAAGGATAATACTTGTATTAAATCAATCATCGTCTTCCACACTAGCGGTGGTTCCAAGCTGTCTGACATCGAGTTATCGACGCAAAAGTGCGGTCAATTCCAATGAAGTGAACGCATTACGTCATCGCACTACTCCAATATCGTACATTCTGAACGGAAATTATATCATAAAAATCTCGGAATTGAAAAAAATATGATAACATCGCGTGATACTTTCATCGTTTTCCAATATTGGGGCAACGATAAAGCCATACGTAGTTCGGAGTTATCGGATTTTCTAATGAACGTGTCATTAGAATAATTTTAGTTATAATATTATTACACGCAATTACTCTAATATAAGGAAAAAGCTATGCAATAAAAGAATTATTTTTTTATTAAGTACATGTGACTATATTGGAAAGCATAAGACGTGTATAAATTATTTAGCGATGGAATCATTACAAAAAGGGTGTTACAAGAAGAGCATTATCAGAACATAGACAATACCAAAACTAGTAAACCCTATCCTTGATTCGGAGTACAGATAACTTGATTTGGGATCACTGGTCTATAGAATTCAGGTTAAATTTAAGTAGTGATCAATCATAATGAAAAATTATACGTATATTTGGGTTGCATTTTTGCAACTGTTTTACAATAACCTTATGAACTCTAGGAAAGACTCCGATTTAGATTGATGGATTGCTAACGTAAAATATGATTGTTTTTAAACAAAACCGACTTCATACATGCATATCTTACTCACTACACGTTTTCTGTTTGATTTCGGGGAATTCCCTGATGTATCTCGGGAGTTCAGGGTCCAATGCCAATGAAATTAATACGGGGAAATGGGAGCTAAAACGAACTCAATGCAAAAAGAACTTTTTTATACGGCTCGTAAACGACCGAGTTTCAAGTCTGAGCTAACAAATATAAAAAAATACAACCAAACTGAACCAAAAACTCTTCCTTTTTTGATGTTGGGTGAAATGATCGATTAAAACTTGAAAACGTTCTAAAAACCGCGACCTTCGTTTGAATTCTTTTGATACGGATGGCGCACTTGCTGACCGATTTTAATAAAGGGTCGTATTGCAATAATAAGTCGTGGGTTCGATATTTACGTATAATTCCTACGGTTCGAGCAAGCGCAGCCATGGTTCGGGATCCGAGAAAGTACCACGGCATCGCAGAAGGCCGACATAGAGTAGAAATGTTTTTCTTTATTCACTTGGACCGAGGTCTTCTCTCTAAAACGATAGTGCAGCTTCACGTTCTCAGCTGTTATACATGTTCATTGGCGGCGATGGTTACATATCATCAACTGCCCGCTCGTTACCGCCTTCTTTTCATAATTTTATCTCACAGTCCGTAGAAAGCTTTTCCGTGAAACGACGCACTGGAGCGCGGCCAGTAGAGATTGAAATTACGATAGCAAATCCGATCGCTGAAACTGTGAGTCACATCGGCCGAGTTCAAGGGTGGGCGCTGTAACACGCGATACAACATAACGACATTCGCCGAATCGTTGCCATCACGGACGCAAATAAGCGGGCTCGGAAACGACGCGAGCTTTCACGACGAGAAAAACTCCCGCCTGGGTAATAGCCGCGATCAGGGAAAACATCGATGACATTGGCGCACGATGACTGTACATTTTCGAGCAACGCACGTATTGCCTTATGTCACGCTACGGCACACTATACATTATTTGATGACACTTCGAAATTATTTGAGGTCACATATTTCTGAAATCCTTGTGCAACATAGACAATATAGTAGACTAAAACAAAGTAATAAGGAAATGTCTTCCTGTCTGCGTTATATTAGAAAAATATTATAAAATCGATTTAGAAGAAAAAGCAAACTTAATGGAATTACATAATGTGTTATGAATGACGCAATAATATACTTAATCGCAGTAAGCTGTTTCTCTGGCATACCTCTATTAATTTCTATCTCATTAAGTACTACGTAATACGCATTAATGATTACCTGCAATGACTTTATTTGACACGAACTGATATTATATTGTACTTTTTACAATTTTGATGGGGATTTTTATTTATTATTTTCAAACATTAAAACACGAAAACGTACGAAATTTAAAAAAATATTCGTCATTTAAACTATTTACGGTGGTAGGGCCACGCAGCAGCCTCGGCTGTTGCACGAATGGGCAGGCCCGTCCGGGTAAGTACCACGACCTCACAGAAGACCGGCGTAAAGTGGAAGTATGACAAATACTTTCGCGTTTCGTCTGGTGAGTGAGGTAGCCGGAGCCCAATTTTCAAAAGGTTGTCAACGCATCTGTAACCCTCGAGTGTAGCAGATGTCCATGGGCGGCGGTATTCACTTAAATCAGGTGAACCGTCTGCTCGTTTGACAACTTTTCGCAAAAAAAAAAAAAAAAAAAAAAAAAATTTAAACTATGTTGGAATAGGTCAGTGAAAATATTTCAAAAAACTAATTTCGAGAAATATAAACATAAAACGTTTATATATTCATAAATGATCACGCCTGCCAGTCGATATTACAAATTCATTTTCCAAAATCCTCGCTCACTTCATTCGTGCCTTCAATATCCAGACATTTCCAAAAGAATTTTACTTTTATATGTAGCATTCTATTTCTAATATTTCGTAATTTGCTACGACTGCGTGGCCACTTAGCGCTAGGTGGTATAGCGGTCGAGTACGTGGGGCATACTGAAAGTTTTTATAACCGGCCGTTAACAAAAATATACAATAATAAAAAGTAATTTACAATAAATAAAATTAATTCTGGGACACCTTTTAGCTTACGAGGCACTTGTTTTTTCAATTGTGTTTAGATAATTATAAATGTCGCTTTAAAAGTTATTAAGAATTTAACTGGTGAAAATTTTCGCTTAATGATTGATC